ATCCCAAAACTTCTCAGTTTCTCCACCAGGATATCATGGGGCACTTTGTCAAAGGCCTTGCTGAAATCCAGGTAAACCACATCCACTGCATCCCCTCCATCTAGCCATCTCGAAACCTTGTCATAGAATTCCACAAGGTTTGTCTGGCAGGACCTGTTTTTGCGGAAGTCGTGTTGTGTGGCTGTCAGCCTCCCTTCCCTATCTAGCATCACTAGATTTCTCTCTATTGCGAGCCTTTCCATTGTTTTTCCTACAATGGACATAAGGCTAACTGGTCTGTAATTTCCCATGTCCCTTCTACTACCCTTTTTGAAAATTGGGACCACTGATGCCACCCTCCAATCCTCTGGAACTTCACCTGTTCTCCACGAACTTCAAAAATGTAGGCCAGCAGGTGTGAGAGAACCCCTGCCAACTCTCTAAGTACTCTTGGGTGTAACCTGCCAGGGCCTGGCACCTTTGTAATGTCCAATGCCCCGAGGAGCCCCTCGACTTCAAGGGGGGTGATTCTAATCTGTGCCCCTAAGTCCCCAGCCTCATCTAATCTCCTATGCAGATCTCCCCTGTTCTGCTTTGGGGAGAACACAGAGGCAAAATAGTCATTCAGCATCTGTGTCTGTTCCCTCATATGAGTCACTGGATCTCCTTCCTCCTTATTTAGTGGTCCACCACTTGTCTCCCCTTCCTCTTCCTATTTACAAGCTGAAAGAAGTCCTTTTTGTTGCTCTTGATATCCTTGGCAAGTCTCAGCTCGTAATCAGCCTTAGCCTTGCGAAGAATCCTTCTGCAACGGGCCTCCCCCTCCCGGTATTCCGTTTTGTCTATTTGCCCCAGTACCCATTTCCTACAGAGTCTCCTCTTTTGTCTAATTCCTGTAACCACCTCCTTGCACATCCATGGCAGCGCTCTCCTCCGCCTCCCCACCTTATTCACTAGAGGTATCATCAAGGCTTGTGCCTCCAAAACCTCCCTTTTGAGTGCCATCCACCCGTCCTCAACTTGCTTACCTTTCAGCAACCTATCCCAGGAGTATTTCCCCAGTCTAGTCTTCAGTTGGCCAAAGTCGGCCTTCTTGAAGTCCCAGCTTCTAGTGCTCGACCTGCTGCACATCCCCAGTCCCCTGATCTCAAAGCAAAGGATGGAGTGATCACTCGCATCCAGAGCTCCCCTAATCTGTACTTCATCTATCAGCTCCTCCCTATTGGTCAAGACCAAGTCAAGGATGTTTCCCCGCTCATTGCCTCGCAGACCCTCTGTGTGAAAAACCCTCCCTCTATAGCTTCTAGGAAGCGACGTTACCTGGCTGTCACCGCTGAGTGAGTCTCCCAACTAATATCTGGGAAATTGAAATCTCCCATAATATTACGTGTCTGTGTCTCTCCCCCGAGATATCCTTAGAATCTGGTCTGTCAGAACATCATCCAGGGTCTCAAGTTGACCTGGAAGGCGATAACATACCCCCACTGTCAGGTCTCTTTCCCTGTCAAAACCCCTAAGTTTCACCCAGACTGCACTGATAGTTATATGCTAACATAACTATAATCTTAGCACTAGATAGGAATAAGCACATAATTGACTTTTTAATGTAAAGTTGTATGGTTTGCTTTCTGGGGGGAGTATTATTGAATACTGGATTGTATTTCTATCCCTCCCTTCCCAAGACTGTACTATTGCTTAGCTGTTTAAAGCACTGGGAAACTGTGCCAAGGCCAGGCTAAGCTTTCAGCAATTTATTCCCTTTGTGAGAGAGGATATGCTCCTCCTTCCTTAATTTGTTGTTAAGTGAATTCTGGCAGGGAGAGCTCCACTGACTGCATAGACTGTGGCAGAGATGCCTATCAAACTGCTACCAACAACAACATTAGTTTTAATCTTGTATTATTCCTCCGAACACCCATGTTCAGGATCTTGCTAAGCAATTCTTAGCCCAGCTGGAGACATGCCTGCTGTATAAGCAGTAAAGCATTGTGCCCAGAATGGCATGTAATGAGATGTACTCTACTGTTCTTAACTGTCAAGGAAGATTCCTTAAACTAAATCTAGGCCATGGGTAATTTACAATAACACCTATTACATAAGAACAGCTGTGCTGCCTTGACTAGTGACCAGTGTACTGAAAGCTTAAGTCATATTTGCTTTGCATTCCATTTCTCTCTTGTTCAAACAAGAGAGAAGCTCCTGAAAAGCCTTTCTGGAGCACTGGGGAGGCAGCATTTTTTGGCGAAAGTTCGTGCATTTTTTGCACAGGCCCAATGTATCTGATTCTGACACGTTCTACCTCCTGCAGTCTCTGGAAGTGAGGCTGGGACCATCAAGGCTGATTTGGAAGTGGAGTTCCCCCTTTCACACTTTGCTCATTGCTTTCCTTTTTTCATAGGCATGACTATTGGGGTTTCCTTGATCATGCTAGTATGTGATATGTTTTGGACCCATAGGCAGACCGATGGATGGATGGACAGATGGATGGATTTTGTATAACCCAAACTGTCTTGGAAAAAACATCATGTGCATACAAAACTGCCTTTGTCCCACCTAGTCCAGTACCATCTGCAACTTGCAATGGTAGTCCAGGATCTCAGGCAGTGACTCTTTCCAATTCTCTGAAGCCAGTATACTCTGAATGATTACTTCCTGATTAGACTTCTGTAACGCGCTCTATGTGGGGCTGCCCTTGAAGACGGTCTGGATACTTCAGATGGTGCAAAATAGAGCTGCCAGGTTGCTGACGGGGACTGGGCATCGTGCTCACATGACTCCAGTCTTCTGTCAGCTTCACTGGCTCCCCATTGAAGTCCGGGCTCAATTCAAGGTGCTGGGTATTACCTATAAAGCCCTTAATGGCTTGGGACCTGGATACCTGAAGGAACGCCTTTTACCATATTTGTCTTCCTGCCCCTTGAGATCAGTGGCAGAGGCCCTTCTCCGGGAGCCCTCCGTGAAAGATATTAAGAGGGTGAGTACCCGGAGGAGGGCTTTCTCTGCGGTGGCGCCTAACTTATGGAACACGCTCCCCAGAGAGATCTGCCTGGCGCTGTCATCATTTGTTTTTCGACGCCAGGTTAAGACCTTTTTATTCCATTGATATTTTAATAAGTTTTAATATTGTCTTTTCTATGTTTTTTACTGCAGCCAGTGTGGGTCGGGAATTTATTTATGTTATATTTTATTTTATGCTGTAAGCTGTCCTAAGGCTTTTTGCTATTAGGACAGCATATAAATATTTTAAATAAATAAACCAGCCTATTGCCCACAAGAAATCAATGGGACTTCTTATAATTGCCTGAGCCATTCAAATACCTCTTGCTGTATTACCAGTGCCTCATCATTGGGCATGCTAGGGTTAGGCAAAGTGACTTGAGGTCAAAGGTATTTTTCTAGTACCTGTAAGAACTGCTTCTCTCAGCTGTGTCTGGACTCCTTAGAGGGTTAAAGAGGGATACTAGTGGTGCCTGCAAAGCAGATGAAAATAATGACAAAATGGTGTGAGAAATGGAGGGCAGAGTGGCACTGATGCCAAAGAGGAGGAGAAAAAGAGAGCAAGAAGAATGAGGGGCTATGCCAAGTTGACTAGAAGTAATCATCCAGGACACCTCCCTTGCTAGGGCCAGTCCTGTGAAATTAGTGAGTGGGACATTAATCACTGTTCAACAAACATGGCTTGTGTGCTAAGAGTGGGACATTGCGAGTAACACAGCTGGTTCTGTGCTACTGTGCACAGCCAGGATCCCATGGTTATGAAAGTGGGCAGATGCATGGCCAATGCAATCTGATGCTGATTATTCACATGCACATATTGCTGCCTTGCATATTTGCACTCATTGACCCTATCACTAAAAAACAGGTGTGGCCCATGTGGTTTTCTTGGCAAGACTAATGCATCCATCTTACAAGAAAGAGCGACTGATATGTCTTGCACCCAGTTTGCATTTATTCCAGTTTGCATCAACATCCACATCAAGAGCAAGGGAAGCAACCACTGAGATTAGGGGTGAGCCTGCGTCAGCAGTTGTTCCAATTTCTTGTGGGGAAGCCAAACCTTATAGCACAAAACTTTTCTTTTGGGAAGAAAAGGATATTCTGGAACAAGTCATGCCACTCCTGCAACTAACACACTTCAGCTGCTGACCCCGCAATTGCAATGGTGACAGCTCCTGGCATTGGTCACTTGCATATCTGATACAGAATTGGTCTATTGTTCCACAGATCTTGAGTGGCTCTCAAATACTGTAGCACATTCCATAAAGTTCTGGCACTGGGCAGACATTCACCATCTGTGGCCCTGATCAGAAGAGTGGGAACCAACATGCCTTAGAAACCTTTACTGTGTGATATAAGAAAGCACAAATAACAGATACTCTACAAATATTTCCAGGTATTTCCACATACTCCACTAATGGCCTAGTAGATACTCTGTTAACCCAGGGTTCGTCTTACCTGTTCCATTCATTTCAGTGGCTCTATTCTATATAGGACAAACACTGGATAGAATCCTTAAAGACATCCAACTTAACAAGATTTGCTGAGAATTGCCAAGGAGGACTAAAACCCAAAAGGAATACATGTTTGTTGTCTCAGTCTCTTGAGAACTGTTTCTTAGTCATTTCCACCAATGGTTCAGAAGCTGTATTGGAGTATTATAATAGCAGCTTCTGTGTTGCAGTCGAAGTGCAAAATGCTTGGGGCGGATGCTATAATCATCCCATACAGGGGCATCCTGCTGTGTTTGAGTCTGAACCTGGCAAAAGCTAACAACGTATATAAAAAAACAACATAGGCCCACCTGAAATAGGCAGCCTGGAATCTCTGAAGTGAAACTTGATGCTTTTCATTGAAGACACACCTCTTCCAGGGCAAAAAATTTCCCTTTTTAAAACGTAGGGACAGGATATATCTAATGAGTCAACCAAGATCCAAAGGGACTGAGGCCAAAGTTCAACAACTTTTGACAAGGAGTAAATTAGAGGCTAGAAATGGAGCCAAAGTCGTGAATGCTTTGAATCGTCAGAAGCTTGGACATTTGTGGAAATTTCTGCCTCGGTACTAACAGATTTTTACAGCATTGACTGCTCATTCTATCTGGAACAGCTCTGCAGGGCTTTTTTCATTCTTTTCGCTTCTCATGCTTGATTATTTCCTGACTTTTCAGTGAGATGGGTCTGTTGAAAAAGATTCTAGTTCCTTTTGCAGGATTAATCTTGGCCTTCTGTTTTTATTCAAGAAAGGAGGACTTTAAACCGGGTAAGTTATTTAAAGCAAAGGCATTTTAAGCAAAGCGGGGGAAGGGGAAGAGAAGGGAGCTGCACAGGAACATTTTATTTTGCTCAGGAACTGGTGCACAGCCTAAATGAAGCATGTCTGAGCGTTTTGTGTATTGTGGATAATAGGAGGCTTTCCTTAGAACAGCTTGGAAATATACCAAGCAACAGACAGGGGCATTTGTCTGGCAAACAGGTGAGGTGGGATTCTCCAATGGAGTCTGAAACTTGAAGAGATTTGACTTTGTTCAAAGTGAATGGGAACATGGTTTATTTGTACTGCTGCTTTAAAATTTTTGAAAAGTCATGTCCAATTAAATTAAACACACACACTTTTCTCTTGGCATTGCGTCTTGGCTTTTTGGAATTTAGTAGTTCTTGGAAGAAGAATGTCAGTTGGACTGGAGGACTCAACAGTTGTTACGTCTGCAGTCTGGAATTGCTGGTCATCCTCTTAAGTTTCTTGCCTTTTTAATATTTATCAGGCATAGGTGTGTGTATTCATGAGACCTTTATAAATGGTTGTTCCTGTATCTTCTTCTCCAGAAATGCTGAAAGAGAAACATGTGATTGTTACTGGGGCGAGCATGGGAATCGGTGAGCAAATGGCGTATCACTTGGCACGCATGGGTTCCCACATACTGATCACTGCACGGACAGAAGCAAAACTCCAGAAAGTAAATGTCAAATGTTGATGTGTATGTCTTTCATCAGGCAACATCCTGTAGAGGCATATTTCCATCATTATGTTTAAAGACATAAGTATAGAATCCCCATTCCTATAAATTAGGATACACTGAGCATTCAGATAAAAAGGAACATGCCTTGAAAAAAATGAACACAATCATTTTATACTTTGGTAAGTTTTAATAAATACTTTTCTTATTTTGGATATCAGATTTCACAAATCAGCTCCAGCAATATGTGACTATTTCCCCGCAAGTAACAGAAATGTGAATTCACATATGTATATATGCACAAAAATAACTGGAACAGCACGTGTCATTCTGTGTCTTGTCATGCAGTTCTGCATATGCAGGAGTGGGTTGAAAAAGCAGATTTCAAAATGGATGTGCTGTCACAGCCAACACAGTGCCCATCTCTTCAGCATCTGCATGGTGGGAAACAAGTCAATCCTCCACATTTGTGGGCTTCCATGACTCTTCTCCTTCTGCTGCACGTGTCATCTCAGCAGTTCTTTCTATCAATTTATGAAGCAAGGAGAAGAAAACTGTTGGAGGGGCATGTCTGTGGCCCCCATGTATGTTTTGTTTATCTACAGCAACAATGTGAGAATCACTGCTGTAGAAGGATTCTCTCTCTGTAGTGGTAATAAGCCAGGAAAACTTACCGTCTAGTATTTACTGTCAGCTTTACCTGTAGCAGCTGAAGCAGCTCCCGAAGTGCTACCATCCATACTTATGCTTGGTAAACTAACCATAAATGTCATATTTTACTGTACTTGTTAGGGAGCCCCATCTGCAGAGCAGAAATATTTTAAAACTGGAGACTTCAAATTAACCAGTAGGAGAAAATCATCCCTTGATGTACTGAGAGGATTCCAGAATTTCTCTTAGACAACCCAATTTCTTATTTTTTATTTATTTATTTTTATTTATTAAAACATTTTTATGCCGCCCCATTCGCCGAAGCCTTACAGGGTCAATAAGTTGGAGAATCCACCAAGGTATCAAACAAGCAACATGTGCCCGATTTGGTAGGAGTAGGTCTGATTCTGTCTACTTCTAAACAATGAATCTGTTTGATAAGAGATGACAAGAAGATGTGGTTGGATTAGCTACTGTAAGCAAAAAAGGTCTGCCTAGAAAATTTGTATTTATCTCTGCAATGAATTAAAAGAAAACCCTTTATACCTTAACTGCTTCTTATATTACAAAACAAAATGCAAAATTTCAGTCACCAGGGAAGGTCTGAGTCAGCAGCAACTGCCACAGACTTGCTGTGGAGCGTTCGCCTCCTACCAGATAGAGGAGATCTTGTTGGCCTCTCAATCTGGTAGAAGTGCAGGCATGCACACAGGGGAACACATCTTGGCTGAAATGAAAATATTGTAACATTGTCAAGGTTTGCAATAATCTTGTAAAAGTTATATATCTGATACAGCTGGCATAGGAGGCGCTGCATTGGCATCAGAAACCACATACACAGCACCCTCACAAGGTTTTTAAATGCTTCCTTTGAATATTTGTTGAACTTTATCTCATTTTTTATTTTTTTTCCAAATAAAAAGGCTCAGCATTCATTTAGCTGGAAATTTTGACAAAGCTGCATTTTCCAGTGGAAATTCCCCACTGATAATGCTGATCCATGAAGCAGGCAAGCAAAAACTGTGTTATGGAAAGAGTCTTTGTAAATGGAACTACCCAGCTGTTGTTCTGCAGTACTGCCCAGGAATTTGATAGGGCAAGAGGAGAAGGGACTATGAGGGTGACGCACCTTCAGAAATCTTTGTTTGTTTCAGGTGGTCACTCGGTGCTTGGAGCTGGGTGCAGCATCTGCCAGGTACATGAATGGCAGCATGGAAGACATGGTATTTGCTCAGTCGGTGGTGAAGAAAGCAGAGGAATTATGGGGTATGTATGTATGCATTTAACACTTTTATTTAGCATCATAATAGCCTTTTGGCTCTCTGGATAGTTTACATAATAAAACCATAACAAAGCATGAAAACTACATAAACAAACCAATTAAAATATCTGTACCAATAAAAAGTAAAACATCCCATCACAGCAGCAACACCAATCAGGTAATAACATGCATTAACATCACAGATTGGATAAATCTTAAAATATCCCAATTAAAATATCAAATTTACTAATTAAAATGCATGTCAGACTTAAAATTTAAACCTAAAATAATCAATAATTAAAATGTTACACAAATAAAAATGTCTTAGCTTGGCTCCAAAATATATACAAAGAAGGCACTTGGTGCACATCTCTGAGGAGCTGGTTCCATAAATGGGGTACCATAACTAAGAAGGCCCTACCTCAGGTTGTCATTCTCCTAACTCCCTTTAAAGATGGCTCCCAGAGCAGGACCTCCAAAGACAACCTTAGGGTCTGGGTATGCTTATGCAGATGGAGACAGTCTTTCAGATATTCAGGTCCTAAACCATTTAGGGCTTTATACGTTAAGATGAGCATCCTGAAGAGGGCCCAGTCTTCAGTGAGCAACCAATGCAATGTATAAAGGACTGGTGTTATATGTTTAGTATTACTAGTCTCTGTCAGCAGCCGGGCCACTCTATTTTGCACCAGCTGAAGCTTCTGTTTCCTGGTGCCCTTGTCACTCTCAGGCACCAGAAACAGTATAATAAAGCACGTTTGAATATAAATTGTACCATATTCCAGTTGTTGTTGGCTTGCACCTCCCATCATCCCTCACTGTGGAGTTAGACTGATGGAAGTTGCAATCCAACAATATCTGGAAGCCTGGTTCCTCACCTCTGATCTAGAAAGAAGGAGATAGCAATGTTCTGGCAATCTACAGCAGGAAAGAGAATAAGGTTAGCTTTAGCATTTAGCCATAAGCATTTGTATACAGTTTTCCAGAGCAACATGGCTGGGGCTGTGGGGAAGGGTGGTATTCTTTGCTTATTTAGGGGGAAAATAATCCATTCTGATTGGTAACATGAGGAAGCTTATGGGTGGGATCTACCTGAAATTTTAGAGGAATAAAATATCATGACCCCTTCTGATATATACTTACTTGGTTGGGAATAAAGGTCATCAAGCACACTAGAATGTATTTTGGAATGAACACACTGTTGGTACCATATTAAGATTGTTTCTGATATAGCCACAGTAAGCATGGGGGAAAGATTTGTGTACATTAGATATGCTGCACTTTGTCAGAAAATTTGCAAAACCTCATTCAAGTTTTGCACTCTTTTAATTTTCCCCAGTAATTGGGCTTAAGAAACATGCTGTAAATAATTTCTAAATATTGCGCCCATATATGCCCTCTCACCCCTTGAGATTAGCAACGGATGCCTTTCTCTGGGAACCCTCTGTGAATGATATTAGGAGGGTGAGTACCCGGATGAGGGATTTCTCTGCGGTGATGCCCCATCTATGGAATGCGCTCCCCAGAGAGGTCCGCCTGGCGCTGTCGTTATTTGTTTTTCAGCGCCAGGCTAAGACCTTTTTATTTAAAACTTATTTTAATTGTTAAATTATTGAATTAATTAGGATTTTAACATTTTTAGCCAAGAATGCACCAGGGGTTTTTTAATGTTTTTTAATTGTTATATTATTATTATTTATTTATGTTTTTATGTATTCTTTGTGAGCCGCCCTGAGGCTTTGTTGCGATGGGGGCGGCATAGAAATGTTTTAAATAAATAAATACATATTTACTGGATTGCCAGATGAGAGGTTCTTCTGTTTGTGTTATCTTTGGTGGTTGCTTTGGGCAGTGGGCAGTGCTACAAGACAATACAAAATCAAAGCTTGCTCAAGGTATGTGGGCACGTAGATGAAACCCAGTTCTATAGCTTTCAGGCCCAGGTATTTCTTATGTTAGGACTTCAGCTGAGTTGCTAGGGTAGCTGATCATGACAACGCTCATGCCACCCTCTACCAACATGGTTTAAACAATTCTTTTTTCTCTTCTTCTTAGGAAGCCTAGACATGCTTATTCTGAATCATATTGGCAATTCTTACTTCAGCTATTTTAACAGTGATGTTGGGCATGTACAAAAGCTCCTGGATATCAATTTCCTAAGCTATGTGACCATGACTGTTGCAGCTCTTCCTATGCTCAAAAACAGTGGAGGAAACATCGTAGTAGTTTCATCCCTAGCCGGTGAGCATAAACTACAATTATGTAAAGTGGACCTAAAAATCTTTCAGAATCCCAAGGCAACTTCAGATGTTTCTGTCTTTTCTAAATGGAAATGATGAAAGATACATGTGCTGATAATACCCGTCACACAAATGGCTGCCGTCTCCAACTGCATGAACAACTCCAGAGGATTTGGTCCCAGCACTATTGGCCATGTTGGGTGGGTGGGGCTGATGGGAATTAAAATCCAAACATTTGGAGGGTATCAAGCTAGAGAATGCTGCCCTAGGTTCTTGAGTCAGCAAGATGTAAAGCCTACAAGTAGGCCTGCAAACTGTAAACCTGTGAGGCATTCAGGCTGGCCCAGCCTTCACTTTTTGAAGCTGGTAGCAGTGCACCAGGGGAAAGACTGGATTTCTCCAGTTCCTCCTACTATTTGTGTGGATGGAAAAGCCTTAGAGCAGTAAACAGACCAAAACACCAGTGGATTTAAGGATGGGTGTGTTGTGTGTGTGTGTGTGTGCAAATAAAGCAACATCTTTTGGGACTGATTGCATGGGTCTTTCCTAGGAAAGAAAGTGCTAATTGGGCAAGAGGTCCTTTTTGGAAGTTTACAGGATTGTTCTAATGCTGTTGGCTTGCATGTGAAAGTGGTCTGCGCTCTCTACAACTGCTTATTTGCATGTTGTGATCTCAATGTAGAGGCAGCAGTTCCTCGTGTCATCATGCTAAATTAATAAAACCATTATTTTGTACAGTGACTGTCACTTAATGCCATGGTGCTTCTTAGCAGGGAAAGGAGCTTCTGTGTAGCCTTTCCTGATCCTGAGCCTGATCCTGCCTATCTTAAGCTAAGCAGGGTCTGACTGGGTTGAAATCTGGATGGCTGACTTGAGTCCGGCATTGAGCAGGTGGTTGGACCTGATGGCCAACTAGACCCTTTCCAAGTATCATTCTGCTTCACAAATGATTTGGGGGCCATCACAATTGTATCTATTGGGAATAGAGCAGATGTCAAGTCAGAATACTCTAATTGGATTCAGGGATGCCTGATGATGACCAAGGACATTTCAAAAGGGACTACTTAAAAATACATATTCATGTCAGAACCACACAATTGCTATAGCAAAAAAACCCCAAAACCCTATGGGATGTTTTCTTATTCAGCTTGAGAGTGGAAGTAGGAGTCAGATAAAAAGAGAAAAGAAACAGTGTTACAGCTGGAACTGATGGCTTGAAAGGAAATGAGGTTCACTTCCAGATATGGGTTTGGGATAGTACGTCCATAGCTACAATATGGAATTGATACTGAGCTTTAAGGGACAAAGATAGTATCATTGAATTTCATTTAGATAATACCACAGCACAGAAGCACATGGCAGAAATAAAGATGGAAAATTCCTCTTCATATTTAATATTTATAACAAGACATTTGGTTGGGATTCCATTTTAATTGCAGAAAAAGTGAAACAAAGTAATCAAGGGTCTGCAGCAAATCTCATATGAGGAAGGTTATAATATCTGAGATTGTTTAGCTTAGAGAAAAGGTAAGAGATGGCTTGGAGAAAGCTGGTAGAGAGACATTGTACTCTCTTTCTGGGGAAAAGTTGGAGTTATCCCATAAATCTGATTGATTCAGGACAGATGAAAGGAAGAACTTCTTCACACAGTGTCAGTTAACTATGGAATTCACTTCCTTAAGTCATACTGATGTTCACCAATTTGGATATCTTTCAAAGATGATTGGACAAGTTCATGGCAGCAAAAGCTATCAGTGGCTACTAGTCCTGATGGCCATCTGTTACTGTCCATATGAGATGCAGTATGCTTCTGTTGCTTGGAAACGTAGAGTGGGAGGATGTGGTTGCACTCATGATCTGTTTGTCAATTCCTGTGGGCAGTTGTTTTGCCACTGTGTGGACAATGACAGTACTAGATGGACCTTATGTCTGATCCAGCAGGGCTGTTCTTTTGTTCATAACTCCAGAAACTAGTTCAAACTAACAATTTCAGAATATGACAAATTAGCGGAGTTCCCTTTCAGAGCTCCCCTGACATCTCCATTCCTAAAGCAATAGTTTAGGCTCAGTTCCAGTTGTATCATCACAGGCTAGCTTCCCATTGCACTGGAGCTCAATTTTCCTAGTCTAAGGAAAGCACTGGATGCTGCCTAGGGTTCCATGTATTTGCAAATGTAATTATTTGCTATAATTACAGGGGGGTTTTCCCCCTTTTTGCAAGGAATCCATTGTGGCTTACATAGTTGCCTTCTTTACTTCCATTTTATCCTAACAAAAGTCCTGTGTAGTAGGTTAGGCTGAGAGTTGGTGGATAGCCAACTATGGTGGGTTGTTGTGTCATCTGAACTCAAAGCGTTTTCCAAGGGATAACTTATTTTTAAAGAACAAGCCATGTAAATAACTCGTGGCTTGTTGTAGGGTTTTCTTGTCTACAATGAGGCATTGTGTCATCTGAACCTGGGGGAGTGTTTTTATTGAAGGTTGCCACAATTTGCCATGGAGCCACTCAGCAAGAGCAGCAAAAAGCCCATGCTGCTCACTTTCCACCATCTTCCCAGTGACTGCCCTTCCCCTGCTACTGAAGCCACACTTGGAAACAACCATCATTTCTTCCCTTCTCTTGCCATCTTGCTTCTTTTGTAATTCTAATGAAATTCTAATGAAATTTACCCATGTGTATATTATTGCTATATTTCTAGGCAAAGTTGGCTTTCCCTTCACTGTTCCCTATTCTGCAACAAAGTTTGCCCTGGATGGATTTTTCAGCTCCTTGAGGCAGGAATTTGTCATGCAGAACACCAACATTTCTATCACACTCTGTGTCCTTGGACTTATTGACACAGGTAAAATTTAAAGTATTGAAACATGAGCTATTAGGGCCTGATCATCCTTGGTAGATTCATACTATGCTCAAAATCTCTCTTAACTTTAACAACTTGAGTGGTTATGCTGTGTGAACTCAGCCATCCTAACAAACCATAGTTTTGTTTTTTGTTTTTTTTAATATGGCTGGGTTCACACAAAACAACCACCACCCATAGTTGTGGTTTGTTAGCATGACTGAGTCTACACAACTCAAGTTTCAGCAACAGCCCATGCCAACCCATAGGTTCAGTGGCAAGTTATACAATTGTCGTGTTGTATGAACCCAGCCAATATGAATCATATAATTGACTTTTCCCCCCTCTAACCTACTGTAGATTATAATGCCATTAAAAATTAGTTATGAAGCAGTCATTTACACTTTTCATACGTAGGAATTTATCATAAGTTACACAGAGACATGTTTGTAGATCCCAACAAATAAGACATGCAAACTAATTTTCAGAGGAATATTCAAACTTTCAAATTAACCATGAAGACTTCTTGCCAACTCAGAAGTTCCCACATGCACCAGCAGTATATAAAATACCCTCTCAAATAGCCTTCCTGTTCTTTTGTATATCATACAGTATTTAAAACAGGGGTATAGAACCTGGATGCTGAATAGAAGGACAATGTATAAGGATACACTTCCAGGCCTGGAGGCCCCCCCTGCAGGTGTCTCTTCTCTCCATTCACACAGTGCACTTTGGTGGCTATCTTGATGTACACAGACAGTAAGATCATTGGAGATGGGTCAGTGCATTTCACTCACTCAAAACTGTTAAGGAGTGATATTGAACAATCACTGAGCTAATGGGTAAACCCACACAAACTGGCATCTGGTTGTATGAAGTCATTAACAGATGGCATCAATACCAAATATTCTTTATCCTATGTGCAATACGAACTGTTAGTGCGAGCCTTCAGTTATGATGAAGAAACTACCACTGAAACTGGTTATTTGAATTCCACCAAAGTTATGAAATATCTACAGAATTCCTGTTTCCTTTGTATTATTTACACACACACACACACACAGAGCGAGAGCGAGCAAAGGCCAGTTGTATATACCATCTTGCCAATGGATAAATTACAAGGGGTGACATGGTTTGGCTAGCACTTGTGCAATGACTTGTAGAACAACTAACAAAGTTAGCTCAAGCAATTATTATACAAGGGGTCTTCAAAAAGTTTCTGCACTTTTATATTTTACGTTTTATAAATATATTTTATATAGTTTTTGCTGATGGCATTAAAAAGTTGGTACAACGCTGGGAAAAATGTATCGCAAAGGGAGGTGACTACATAGAAAAGTGATGACATTTGTTTTTGAAATTCTTAATAAATAGAGTTTAAAAAGTGTGGAAACTTTTTGAAGAACCCTCATATTAATAATTAATTTATTTCTATACTGTTCAAGCTGAAGCTCTAGTTAGCTCAGTTAAGCTGTAGTGAGTTGTGCAATGGATTATGCGAAAACAGATTCTGCAGCAGCTTATAGATGGCTTACACTGGTGGAATCAAAGAACTGGACACTTGAACAAGTATGAAAATAGGATGTCTGCAAGAGACTGAAGCTTTGTGTTAGCAGAATGACATGCAAGATACAAACCACACTTGCAGAATCCAATGATGCACTACTTACTAAAAACAAAGAGCTCCACTGTGAAAAATACATGCTGGTTACCTTTACAGACCAAGTTATAATTTCTTGAAAATTTTCTTTAAGGTTCCAGTTATACTATTCATTGACCTGGGATAAGTCTAACTGAACTTAATGGAACACATTTCTCAGTAGAGCTCTGTATCATCTGAGTTCCTGAGCAACAAGTAGTACTTGTCAATCAACTAATACTGACTCAGGTCCATCTTCTTCCCTTAGAAGCAGCCATGAAGGCAACTTCTGGAATACTCAAAACTGTGGCAGCACCAAAGGAAGAATGTGCATTAGAAATCATAAAGGGAGGAGTCCTGCGCCATCGGGAGGTTTATTATGAGTATATGTCTGCAAAGATCCCTCTATTAATTCGGGATTGGGCTCCAGATCTCCTGGATTATATTATCAGGAATATGTATGATGTGGGCAAACTAAAAGTGCAGTCTTAGGATGCTTTTTATTTTTTCTCTATTCTTTCATGGTATCTTAGAAAGGCCTGTGGTGGTGCTACCAAACTTTCCTTTAGCTCAGGCTATGTCCAATTAGCTGATATGATAGAATCCTGAAAATTCTGGTCTCCAGTATGATAGTACATGTTGACCTGAAATCTGCTACAGCATCTTGAAATTCCCTGCTGAAAACATGTGCATGCCTTAAGTTTTGGAACAAGCAAGCCCTCTATGTATTTAGAGGGTTTTGGAGAAAAAAGCATGTTTATGGCAAATGTTTAACTTGCTCTTGAACTGCATCCACATAGGTCTTTCATAGCAAGGGACCTTGACTTCCAATTTTCTCCAGGCCCAATAGGTGGAGCTAATGGTCTTCTTCTCATAGAACATCATGTTTGTTCTTTGTTCTTTAGGATTATCAATTTTTAATTCTTAAGGAGGGCCAGAACCAGCAAAACACCCCCAAGTCCCATCAGGGAGATATAATTGTTCCTTAGAGCAAATCATGCGTAGTTTAGATCAAAAGCAACAACAAAAAATTGCCCAGTTCGAACAACCAGCAACTCCCTTAAAAATGGCAATGAAGGGGGAGAGAACTGTTTCTTCTGCTGCAGTGAGCTTCAGTCAAGGTCAATTTATAATGTTCAGGATTCTTAAATAAAAATATCAGACAATTTACAGCTGCAAAATTAAGTAGAAGAGTACCCTTTTCAAAGTCCTTTCCAAGCAGAGAAACAAAAATACTTTAAAATTTGGATCACAACCACAATAATAACCTCAGGTCTCAGCTGTCTGGAAAGCGCTATTGTCCTCCTTCTCAATTCAAAAAGCACAATTAAGCATGAAAATTCATCCACGTGTATTTTCATACCAAGGTCAGTTTACAGTATTCATAATGTTTAGTAGGGACATTAAACAGCTTTGCAAATGAGACGCCATCTACCAACAAAAGATTATCTGTTTCAGAGTCCCTTCAAATTATGCAAACAAAAATGCCTTAAGAGTTCAAGCTGCATCAAATTGGTGTGCTATTCCCTTGGCAAAAAAATGTCATAATATAAAAAGAAATAATAAAAACTAAAAGAAAGATAAATGGAAAAGAAAAATGGAGTAAGTGTGTTGGGGGGCGACTTTGTTAAGTGTTTCAAGGTTTACCTCATTAGGCCATCTCGATGAAAACAGAGCTGCAGACTCTAGAGAGTCTTGATGCTCAACTGTCATTTAGAGATATAAACATCCCTCAGGGCGATTTATAATCACCCAAACATGATAAGGCAGAAAGCAGCAACATTCGCTGGTGCTTCATCAAGTTGCCATTTCCACAGAAGTGCCTAAGTTTTTTCTTGCTAGTACTAAAGCAAACAAGGGAATTGCTTTCTTGTCTCCATATCAGTAATCTGCTTAGCCATTCATTAACACAAAACAAGACATAAAGGAGGATGTCCAAAAGAGAAGAAAGTACAATGTGTTACTAAGTTCTATACATGGGCACCACCTCTCTCCCTTTTGTGAATTTTACTGTACGTGTAGAATTCTTAATTTCTCATACCTGTCATATAGACAGGTAGGCAACCAGTACATGTTATATGATGTAACCTGGTTTACACAAAGGATTGACACTAAGAATGTATAAATTTAGAAGTGAGATTTCTTACAAATGTCAGGTTCAGCAAATCAAAAATCCCAAACCCATCAAACAAGAAAAGAAAAAAAAACCTAAATGTGAACTTTTGAAATGTTGTATGAAAAAACTGAAGGTATGCCTTGCTGAGAAAAATTTTCCATTCATATTGTTTTGCATTTAAACACAAACTTAATAACCCCTCCACCCCAAATCTGTTTAGAAATGTGGTTAAAATATAGCATTAGTACAGCATACACTGGCATTTTCGAGGTAAGAAAATACCTTCTGAGATTTTCCTCCAAATTTAGTGAGGATGCAACCTATACAGAGTTAGACAGAGCAAGGCCTTGCAAGTCCCAGCATGAAAGTCCCAGCATTTTATCTACAATAAAAAATGTAGATTTATTTCTGCCTAAGCATGCATAGGATTGTACCCTTAAGCTATAGCTGCCCAGAACAGGCACAATGAGAATCTGAATTTAAATACTGTGCAGTGGAAATAGCTTTAACTGTACTAAATAGTGGCTATAGATCAGCATGCCAGATATTCAAAACCTCTTGATTTCAGACTTTCTTATCCTATCCAGGAAATGCTTGATGAGTTGGAAATGCACCTTTTTTTCAGAGCATTCCTATACCATCAAATATGCTTTGTATTCATAGCACACCATGGAGCAATTCCTATTAACTCCCTGTTTTGCCCTATAATGACCAGCACCTTATTCAAAGCTCCACAATTCTCATTCAGATCTGTTCCAGCTTTCACTGTGAACTCCAGAGCAGTTCTTGTTGCAAAGTCCAGGAACTATAAAGGAATAGTTTTCTGATTTTCAAATAGATTGAACAGCCAGTAGTTCTCATTCTGTCTTTTATGTAAAAATTCAATGAGGATAAATGGGAAATGAGATTTCCTGGAGAGGAAAAAAACCTATCGCTTGTCAGGTTTTAGTGCACCAAAGTATAGGTAGATTGTCAGATTTTCAACTGCAGTCCTCCTTCATAAAGGAACACATTATTTGACCTTGTCCAACTGGATCTCCAGGAAAATGAAGACAAATTTTGGCCAATGCTTGTTATTTCTTTCCAGGGATGGGGACAAGTAGATTGGGAAAAAAGTCATATGGGTCTGCAGCATGGTGTGAGGGACAAAAAAGCAGCGGCAGCAAGGCCATACAAAATTCAGGGATTATTCAGCTGTTCCTCAGCATCATAAATCAATAAAGTCTGAAGATATACAGTGGTCAGTGTCTTTTTTATGAGGTCAGAAATAAGGGTTTATCTTTGGTCCAATCTAAACAAACAAAACCTCAGGTTAGAAGGATCTCATATTCCACTCACATCTATTCATTCAGCCATGTGGAGGCTCACATCACTTTCTGAACTTTAAAATGGGAACAATCCAAATATTTACTTTTATCCTCTTGTTTGTATGTTTACCAAACATTTCTGCCTTGTGACGAAACACTATTTTTCCCCCTGTTCAAAGCTGTTCAGTATTCAAGGCTGAGATTTTGTTCTAATTAGATCACAGCCTTTATTTCACAGGCCATATGTGTTTTTCTTTGAAAAGAGAGCTACAAGTAACAGAGTGGAACTTACTGGGTGATCATTGCTTTCAATATGAGCTTTCTTCTGGCTGCTATAAATTTACAAATTGATTCCCGAGTAATTTTTGAACTGAACTAATGTTGTGCTATGTAAGAAAATGGAGATGGGTGCTCTGTACAGCAGTGATAAAATTGTTCTCCAGCTTCCCAAGGCCTACAATAGGATTTTAGGCAAAGCATGGGAAAGTAACCTACAATTGTAGACATGTATTAAAAATCTACTAAAAGAAATGCTGTGTGCTGTTTATTTATTTTTCTTACAGCTGAGGCCTTCCACTTAAGGGTTCCCATGTGGTTCTGAAGCCTGACAGAAACATTTGTATTATCCCAGCTATTTAGGAAACATTAGCTGACAATGTTTTAATCTGCGACTATATTCTTAATGTCTGCTATGTTGCTCTTGTTTCATAACATCAGCTATTTAATTATATTTTGCTGTGTTGATTTTACTGTTGTAATTGTTTTGGCAAACAAAACAATTAAAGAGATGAAGCATTTCCCCATCATGAAAAGTTACAATGTTGGGGCTTTTTAACTTAGGAAAGAACAAATAAGGGGAGACATGACAGAACAGCATAATGTCCATGCATGATGTGGACAAAAGTGTTGGGGATTTCTCCCTCCTTCATAATTCTAAAACCTGTAGCCATCCCATGAAGCTAACTGGTTTTAGATTCAGGATATACAAAAGAAAGCACTTCTTCACACAACACACAATTAAAGTAGGGGATGTGCTATCTCAGGATAGAGTTATGTCCACAAATTTGTATGGCTTTAAAAAAGGATGAGACAAATTTGTGGGGGATCAAGCTGTCATTATTGCTGTCTATTAGTTCCAGAATCAGAGATGGGATGCCTCTGGACAGGAAGAGCATGACCAAGAATGTGGTATTACCCTGATGTCCTGCTTGTGCACTTGCTATAAGCCACTTCTAAACAGAACCCTGAAGAACAGCCTTCCCCAACCTGGTGGCCTTCAGAAGCATTTGGACCACAACTTCCAGAATTCCCATCTAGCAGGGCCATTGACTAGGAATTCTGGGTAAGCCCAAACGTGTAGGAGGCACAAGGTAGGGGAAGGCTGCTGTAGAAGATTGGCCTTTAGCCAGCTCCAGCAGGACTCTTCTCGTGTTCTTATCCATAATTAAGGGATGGAATCTAATTTCTTTAGAAGGAAGGAAGGAAGGAAGGAAGGAAGGAAGGAAGGAAGGAAGGAAGGAAGGAAGGTAGGCCAGCCAGCCAGCCAGCCAGCCTTATTAAATTTTTGCACAATCCTGTTACAATCATCAGTGTTGCTCCCAATATTCAGGGAAGAACAACTAGGGCTGAAAGACCACATGGAAGTGTGAGGCATGCAGGTGAAATTGTATGTGAGAGACATATGGAAGAATATACAGAGTGATTATTACTTTTCATGGTCTAAAAAAAGAGATGGGAAGTATGTAGCCATGGGCGACATGTGCTCTTCCAGCTCCATTGTGGTGCTAATGTCCTTTGTTGCCCACAGCAAATTGGATTAAATGAGGAAGGGGGAACAGTAGTACTGAGGCTTATAACTATTCAGGCTTACTAAAGGCATTTGCAAAATTTGTCCCTAATAATAGATACCTATGCTGCCACCATACCAGCCAGAATTCCCTGCCTGCTGCCAGCAGCCACAGAACGCAGTGGATCTCCAATTATTACTGTTAAAAAAACCAAACTAGGAAGTAGCAGTGGCTTCTGCCCCTGCACCACTCCAGGTTCCTTCTTCTTCCCTTGTCTGTTAGCAGCACACTGCTGAACCTTCAAGCATTACACACAATTTAAACTGAAAAAATGCTTTTACTGACATTTGGTCTGCGCTAATTAGATGTTGTCTTTGGCAGGGATTTGGTCATTGAGAGCAAAGGAGTGATGCAAAGACTAGACTATGCCCTAGAAGGAAGTGTCTGATTGGCTCAGATTACTGCTATTCAAAATGCAACTGAAATTTTCTCTTTTCTTTTCTTTTCTTTTCTTTTCTTTTCTTTTCTGTGGAGCCTGCAGGCACAATGCAAGTACCCTGGAGCTTTTTCAGTGGAACTTGGCAAAGGAGGGCAATGAGAAGGAGCATAAGTAAGAGTGGTAGAGGAACAGAGGAGCTTTTTGAGCCAGACTAGGCCCTTGGCAACTGTCTGCACATGCTGGCTGCTGCTCCTGCTGGGCCTGGCTTTCTGAGGCATGTTATACAGCATTTCAGTATCTTCCACTGAAAAGCACATTGTGTTCCCCTATAATTTGTTTTTGAACTGAACATGCATCACTGAAAACTTAGCACAGGAAAGGGAAACTTCCAGCTCAAAAATTCAATGCAACCACCAGGTACTCCAGGCCCAGCATCCCTATCGCAGTGTGATCCACTGCTGACATTTCAGAAGCAAAATATATGATGAAGCAAATACTGCCCTCTCACATTATATTGAAACAAATATGTAGATTCTTAAATTGCAAGACAAATGCACCAATTTGCCTCAAAAAGAGGTCATAATGTTGTAACATATTAACAACTCCATACTCAGTCTATGATATTTTATATATAATTCATCCAGACTCTAAGCCATCTAAAATGTCACCCCTTAGATGCATCTTCTCTAAAGTATCTTAGACTGCACATGGAGTTATCCATGTGTTACAACACCAGAGGCTCACTTGTGGTTAGCCAAAAGCATTTTTCCTTTAACTTTCTACATACACTTGTATTATGCTCCATCTTTATCTTGAAACAGAATGGCCACAATCTTTATTTAAACCCTCCAGTTGTACTTAGATAACCAAAGTGTCAGTAAGTTTGACTGAAGTTTACTTTCTGCTGTGTCATTGTTCAAGTCTGACTCTTTATATGACTTTGTTTGTATACAGCTGGTTAAAATATCCAAAGCTCAGTTGCAGGAGGAGCCAAGCAGGAGCAATAAGGCTGCTTAAACATGATAAGCCAGAAATTTTGGGAACCCTGACTTGTGATTATGTCTGAATCAGGCCACGGTGTGATATGGAATAATCCCATGTTGTAGAAGTGGTGGTGGGATCCTGAGGCACTGTAACTTGTATAAGGGCATCTATCAGAATAAGAGAGGAAGTCAGATCTGCTAAGGACTTCCGAGGTCAGCACTCACAAATATAGTCACTCTATGACAGCCTAACTTCGGCTTTTTTACAGCTCTGATGTCGCAATGTTTAAGAATGGATAACGGTTATTTGCTTATCAAGGCAGGGAATCCTCATTCCCGGAGGTATCATACTTGACTTGGTCTGAGGATGCTAACCACAGTTGCTTGGACTTGATCAGCCTCCAAGTGCCAGGACTGATAAGGTAAACTCAACGGTGGGTTGTTGCTGGAGTCCCAGTGATAGTGAAAGACATACAGACTGTTCTACCACAACAGAGACGTATTATGAGACTATGAACCTGCTTTCAGAACTCTGGGTTTCCTGTCACCTCCCTTGTTATAGGAGGGTAAGGCATAATGAGAGAGAGAGAGAGAGAGAGAACGAGAGAGAGAGAGAGGAACCAAGTGGGGTGAAGCATTGTGGCTTTCCTGTTCTTTTTTTTTAAACAGAGCAGCAAAGTGAAGTCGTCCAAATAAAAATGACAGTTATAGCATGTTAGTACTTGATAACTAAGCAGGCACCTTCTTGAGAATTTATGCCTCAGCAACGGCAGAGCTGGGCCTCTCACATCTTGATGAACTCACTTCAGGCCTGCCCTAGAAAGCCAAAGGTAAGGACCTCCCTCGCTAGAAGCGATCTTCCATTTTATTTCTCAGTGAACGGAAAACATGCTTAAGCTAAAAAAAAAAAAAGAGGTACTTTTTCTTTGCACTTGTGCCAGCATGATTGCCAGTGTGAAGCTGCAACATTATTTTTTCTGCTTAAACCGGAGAATTCAGCAGTGCCTGCGAGGGAAAGATAAAGGGTATTTGTATTGGCCCAGAAAACCGAAGGAAGCCCTTCCACTGATTATAAGGCCTCAATGGTTTTTCCAGGTTTATGGGTTAAATAAACTAAGCAAATTCGGATCTTCATTGTTCCAAAACAGTTCCTGTTTAAGTTAAGGGGTTTTTTTCAGTCAGCTGCACGGTAGGAAATTCTGGAAACTATGGCAACTGGGCAAGGTAGGTGAGTTGCTCGTCTGTCTATGGGGGAAGTGGCAGTTTTGGGGACTGCACATGTCAACTGGGATAGATTCTAGGACAACAGCTTCAAGTCCTTCTTGAAACACTGCCTGGTGGTTGGGTAGAAGCAGGCTGATTTCTCAAAAATGTGGTGGTGATGGTGGCAGTGGTGGGTTATAAAAGCAGTGTAGACTTTTACATACTCCTCCAATTAAAACAAAATCAAAATCAAAACAACACCATAAATGCACTAACAAAACACTCTTTCCAGATGTCAGTATGAGTGACTCAGGGTTGATTGGTATACTTGTGGTGGCCATGCTTGTTTTCTTTCTCCTTCTCTTTCTTCACCTTTGCAATAATATGTTCCCAGTTTACAGTTGTCTGATGTATTGAAATGATAAAAAATGGTGGCATTCCAGCATATAGCCTCATCTCATACTCTGGTCATTGTGCCTGAGAGTGGTTCGGCAGAAAATGGAAGAGGAAAAAGGTGGCTTGGAAGGGGTGAATAATAAATAAAAAAGGATGTCTCTCAGCTAAATAAATTGACTCCTTTAGTAGCACAGCCTCATCACGCCATCTCAGCCGAGCATATCCAATTAGTATATTCACATTAGTATCTGAATACAAGAAACACTGAAGAAAATCAGCAAGAGGAAAAGAAAGCTTACTTGTGTAAAGTAAAAAGACTATCTATATGCCAAAGTGTGTAGGAAATGCAGCAATACTGTCCTCAGTGGTTGACGGAAGAGCTTTAGTTCTGTCTGACAACATTAGATGGTAAATGGACAGTAAGTGGACACAATCTAACATGTGAAAAATGCATAGAAATGTTTTAATAAATAATAAATAAATAAAGTGTGAAAATAAAACATGCACACACACTTGAGGAAAACATAAACAATTACAAGTTACTGGGATAGAAACTAAAAATAAATGGTGCATTTTTCCATTTGCTAATTTGTTGCAACCAATGAAATATTCACATAAATCCTATTGCAATCTCTGCTAACTGGCTACCTTATGCCATAGTACAAAGTTATGGATACCAAAGTAGTCAGGTATTAGTTGCCTTTTTCTGGTTAAATTATCCTGGTTTTATGTCAATCTTGCACTTAATGACATTTGTATACAAATTGCTGCTATAAAACCCTTGATGCTTTTTGAGGCTATTCACTGGTTTAATGATATAATCTGGCTTGGGAAGGAGATGGGTGTATAGTGTGTGAATGAGAGGAAAATAATTAAATGTTAAACATAAGGGGCTGGTTTATGAACCAAAAGCTGTATAAATCCACCCAAATGAAAATTTCAAAGGGGCACTGTCATATTTTTAGTTCCGAGAAGTATGTTTCTATGTGTAGCTGTTGTCAGATACCTCCTTCCTCTAGTGATAATAGCACAAAACAGGAAGTGGTAGAAAAAGCACCTAAAGGAAGAGATAATATTAATCATGGCTCTTCGATGCTACATACCATTTTTTGCACCAAGCTTTCAATTCCTCAGATGCTGATCTCAATCCTCTTATACCTTTGGAGTTGATGCAATCGGCACAGGACTTTGTATAGAGCCTTCACAGACTGGGGTTCTCAATGAAATGATTACTGCTGTGCAGTTTTCTTTCCATTTCCAGCTGCATCAGAGAACAGCTTGTCCAATGCCTGACTTAACGACATAGTACTAAACTGGGTATTAGGGAATGGAACAACAAGAAAGCAGAATTTGCACAGCGGTCAAGATTTTGTTAAGTTTAGGTTGTCATTGCATGTGGGATCAGAGTCTGGGGCCATGAATAACGGAGGGTGGTTTTATCCTTTGGGGTGGGTAGTCTGAAGCTGTATCATAAACACACACACGCACACACACAAAATAAAGACAAAAAACCAAGGATATTAATAGCCCCTTTAACCACCACTACCCCAGTACAAACATAAAAACAAATCTAGATGCATCCCTTGTACTTACTAAAAAAGGTGGTTTGAAAGTTAACCAGGGAATTTGCCTTTCTGTGGTTCGCATAGATAGGGATGTAAGTGATGTATACATTATCATACATTTGAATACCCACCTGTTGTATTCATTCTTTCCATTGCTTTTAACAGACTATTTCCATCAAAAAAGGAAAAAGTCTAAAAGGGAAAGTCAAACATTTTTTAAAAGGGTTCACTGCACACCAGAGTTAAAAATATGCAAAAGAAAGAAAACTCTTCTTGTTTTCTGAGATGACACATATTCATTGTAAAATGTTGCTAATTTTAAGGGATCTTGCTGTCAGTGGACTTAATGTTGGATTCCATATGAGAAACAGTTTGTGACAACTTTCTTAGCTGCTAACAGATTTTTCCTTCTAAACCCTATGAGTAAGGAACGCTGATTGCTTTGGATAATAGACTAGCCACATGTCTCAAACATACTGAGGACTGTTCCCTGTTTGAAGGCATCCTCTACTTGAAAGGCTGCTCAGTTCAAATCTAGTTTAAAGATAAGGAAGCAAAAGAGCAGAGGCTTGAACTTGCCATGAACACTTAGCGGCTAGACAGCAGCTTGACCCTAAATTAGCATGTGTAAATCTTATGCAAATCCATACCTCTTTTACCATCATTTGGGAATAACAGATTTCCTCTTTTTGTGATGTATAAATGAATATCCTATTAGTTAATCACAATACACATTTCAAAATACACTACAGGTACTCATAGTTTCCCTCTTCTCCCCCCCCCCCACCCCGTAGTACAGACAGTGACTTGAAGAAAAAGCCTTGGGTGGTATTACTCTCCCCTGCCTCTTGCCCAATGACATTGATCTGATCCAAGGTGGGAAGCTGCATTAACTTATAATCAATGTCAAGAATCCATTAATAGATCCAGGATGCAATGTGTAGTTTGGCTCTGAGTTAACAACAGTTGTACATTTGTACCAACTCACCAGTAAAAGGAATATTGGCAAATCTGATAAGCAGAAGTGGATAAATACAGATGACCAATATGCTATCTAGTTCATCTGCTTTGTAATCATGTGTTAAATTGTAGCAAATTGCAGCAGTAGAGAGGACCAATGACATTTTTGCTTAGTTTTGCGACTGCTGTTGCTCAACCATAGTTACTAGTGACTAGTTTGGCTACCAGGGATTGAAGACCTAACCCTCAATTCATTACTTCAGCACTTTGTCACTATGTTTTTTATTTTTTTAAAGAAAAGCATATGGCTAATAAGTTCTCACAATCTTGAAACTGTCTTCATAATATTGTTATTACTGTTGGTTCAAAGAAGAGAATCCCTCTAGTCAGATTGTTCTTGTTGTTATTTGTTTGTATTTCTCTTATGGAAAAAGAAAATCTGGCATTTAAAAATGATTGTATGCTTTTAAGCTTCCAAAATTCTCATATCAGTTTTAATTCCTATTGTGAGCTATTTTACATGATCAGTGGTGGTGGTGATGTGCCATCAAGTTGCCTCTGACTTATGACGACCTTATGAATGAAAGTCCTCCAAAATGTCTTATCCATGACAGCCTTGCTCAGCTCTTCCAAATACAAGTCTGTGGCTTCCATAATGGAATCAACTAATCCCATATTTGATCCTCTTTTTCTTCTTCTGACTTTGACTTTCCCTAGAATGATTGTCTCCTCAAGGGAATTTTGCTTTCTCATGGTGTGTCCAAAGTATGTCAGCCTCAGTGTTGTCACTTTTTCTTCTGAGGGAAGTTCCAGCTTGATTTGCTCTAGGACCCACTTGTTGGGCTTTCGGTCAGTCTAGGCCATTTACAAAGCTTTCCTCCAGCACCAGGTTTCAAGTGCTTCTCTTTTCTTCCTGTCAGCTTTCTTCACTGTCTAGCTTCACATCCAAACAGAGTAATCAGGAACACAAAAGTGTGGATGGCCTTGAAACATCCCTACATTTGATGGTCATTTCTAGTTTCTTTGTTATTGCCTTTCCCAGTCTCAATCTTCTTTCAGTTTCTTGGCTGCAGTCTCCATTTGAATTGCTAACTGAACCAAGGTATGTAAAATCTTTCAAAATTTGGTCTCTTCATTATTAACTGTAAAGTTCTGTAATTCTTCTGTGGTCATGATTTTTGTTTTCTTAATATTCAGCAGCTGATTTGTTCCTACAATTGCTCCTTTCACTTTCATCAGGAGTCATTTCAATTCACTACTACTCTCTACCAGTAATATGATAGCAATCTTATATCTTATTGATGTGTCTCCACCTATTTTCATACATTCCTCTGATTCTAATCCAGCTTCCCTTATGATATATTCTGCATCAGACTGAACAGACAGAAAGATAAAATACATTCTTGTCTGATGCCTTTGCCTATGAGAAACCATTCTGTTTGTTCATATTCTGACCTAAACTGTAGCTTCTTGGCCATTATACAAGTAATGCATCAGGACAATCAAGTGCTGAGGCACCCCCATTTTTTTCAAGACAATCCATAGCTTCTTGTGGTTCACATAGTCAAAGGTTTTGTTGTAATCTATAAAGCATAGACTGTTCTTCTGAAATTCTTGGGTGTGCTCCAGTAGTCAACATATTTTTGTGATATAATCTTGAATGCCTTTTCCTTTTTTAGAATCTAACTTGAACATCAGAAATGTGTCTCTCCATATAGGTTAATATTCTCTGTTGCAGCACTTTGCAATACTTTGACCATTGCTTTGCTTGCATGGGAAATTTGTGTGATGGTCCTATGGCTGCTGCAATGTTTTACATCTCCTTTCCTGGGGACTGGAACAAACATTTCCAGTGTGTCAACCATTGTTTTGTTTTCCATATGTGGTTGGCATACTCCTGTTAGGATTTTGACTGATTCACTCTCTACAGCTTGGAATAATTCTGTTGGTATCTGATATGTTGCAGGTGCTTTATTTTTTCCAGCTTTCAAAGAAACGTTCACTTTACTTGCTAATATTTTAGGTTCTTCCTTTCTGAAGGATTCTACTAGTGAGATCTTATACCTTGACATTAAACATGGAAAGATGGGATAGCTATTTAACAAACAAACTAACTGCCTTTTAAGGAGCATCTTGCTTTCCCTATTAACATCCTACTTTTCCTATATAATGCTCAAGATCATAGAACGATAGTTTGGTATACATCTTCTCTACCTGATGTCAACTATCATAGACTTCTAATACTTATCAAGCGATTAAATAGGTTGAATTTTTTTTTTAGGGGAACCCTTACTTTGAAGTTCCCCAATTTCACCACACATTAAAATAGATGGCATGGGAAGGTGGATGGGGAAATCACATAATGTTTTCTTAAATAGAGACAAACATGCAAATAGATAGTAGAAAACCTTATCACTTGGTTAGTTTGTGATATGAAACAAAGTAAGATGTACTACAAAGGTTTGTAAGAGTACAAGGGCCAATATACCTTTACAAGTCCAGGTATGCAGAAAGTTCTGAAGGATGACTGACAAGTGATATGAAGGTGAGGTAGAGGGGAACTAAGTGGTTTTCCAATCCTAGCTTTTTACAGGTTTGGCAGGTAGCTTCCATTGCAACTAGAGGAGAAACTGAACTAGAGGAGAAACTGAACTGAAGTCAGCAACACTTCAACTTGCCCTGTTCTTCCTTGATAGAGTAGAATGAAGTTGCAGGCTTCTGACTCAGTAGAGTGGACGGTACACCACCTCATTTCCCAACTCTGTTTACTAGGTGCAGTTCTCATTTCCCCTTTGAAACTTTATCTAGCAAGAGACTGAAGCTACCAGTCTTAGTGTGTTTTGTTCAATTGAGAAGAAGCCTACTTTGACAGACTTAGGAAGGTACCTAAGTCTGTAGATACTGAGCTGTTTTGTCTTGAAAGGAGACTCCATTGCAGAATGTGTATAGCTGGAAGAGGACTGTTTACTTAAGCTACCTTTTGTTTAAAAGGTGCAGTGCTTATTTTTGCATGGTATGCACACTTTGGAGACATGTTCTGAAACAAGAAATCTGATAAGCTTTCATTGAAATATGTGTTGAAGAGGGTTAACAACAAGTATCTAAAATATATATCACTATATACATAATACACAAATCTTTCTTTCTTTCTTTCTTTCTTTCTTTCTTTCTTTCTTTCTTTCTTTCTTTCACTTTCAATGGAAAAGCTATCCTTTCCTTCAGGACACACTGTACAGTATTTGTGAAACATCCCTCAGCTTGCAATAAGGAACTATTGCTTGAGAGAGACAACTTTTCACCATCACCACCTTCTGGACTCACAGAGTTCATTTCATGATTCTTTGGGCCCTGCTTTAGTCTTAAAATAAATTATCTTATGTCCTTGAATGTGTGCAGGGAAAGCCAAACATAAATCCACTGATGTTTGCAGTTGATGTTGTCCTTTGTATCTCTGTTGTACACAAGGCACAGATGTCATGTTCAAGCTCCAACAAATATCAGTTCAAATTATGTACTTTACTTAATTTATCCTTGAGTTTTCAGGGTAAATACAAGGATAAAACATAACAATACTAGATAATGTACACTCAAAACAACAAGCCAAGCAGGTGAAAATAGAATATATATATATATATATATATAAAATGGGAGACTACACCTCTCTCACAAGAAAGAGTGAGTAATAATTTTTTAAAGATGAGTAAGATCGAGTGTTTAGAGAGGGATGGGTATAAAATTGCTTTGCTTTGCTTTGCTTTGCTTTGCTTTGCTTTGCTTTGCTATGATGAGCATTATACCATTGCCTTCCCCAACCTGGCATCCTCCAGAAGTGTTGGCTTTGCTGTCCAGCACACTGGAAGGGCACTAGATTGAGAAAGGCTGTATTTTGGTGTTCTAGTCCTATGCCTCACTTTCATTAAAAATAATATAGCTACAAAACTTTTTTAGAAATAATTAGAAGATTAATTAAAAAGCAAAACCAAACCAAAAAAAAAAAAAAAACCTCAGGTTATGAATGGAGTCCACTGAAATGCAGAATGTCAAGTTGCAGTTTTGTTTATAGTTTATGGTGGAACAGCTGGGAGTAACCCATCTGAAAGCAGCCTCTGTTAGAACTGGAGGTGTCTGTTCATGATCAAAGGCCCTGGATTAAGATTGGATGGCCTAAAAGTTCCAATACTCATAATAATTTCCACAACAGCAACATGATTATTATTTATATGCTTAATTTCGAATAGGTGAAATCTCTTCAGATCCAAGAAAGCTGTCTGCATGTGATTCAAACCAAGCAGTGAAAACACATAAAGTAAAGTAAGTACAAAAAACCATTGAGTTGGTAATAAGGGATATTTGGATTCTGTAGGCATTTCTTCTCCAAACTTTTAGAGCACCTTACTTCTGTTTCCTGGACTATATTTCCTTCTTCAACTTACGTTACAAAAGTCTGCTTTGAGTCTTCATCTCGTCTTACTCTCCTGCATTGTTGCCTTCTGCCATGTTTAGGAGATTAGAATATCCTGTTTCGTCCCTTTCAATCTGTCTCTCCTGCTGTAACAGAACTATCATGCTACTTCTTTTAAAAGGAACTCAAATGAGGACTATTGTGAAAAATTGTGGGAAAAGGTCATTTAATTTTAATTGAATTAATTTTATTCAATTCAAGCATAACTGGAACTCATGATTTCTACATATGTTAAAACAGAATAGCACAACTAAAAAGACAGCATTATTATACCATTTTCTGCTGTAAACATGCTATTCTGTTCTTATCTTGTCTATATTTGAATCCCGTTGCCTCATGAATGTCCTTATGATGTTTTATCCATTGTTAAAATGCAAAATCTAATACCATCAGTTAAACAAGGCTACAGAAATATTTTTAATAGTTTTCCAAGTCCCATGGTTCTTCCACCCTTTCCCAAAACTCTAGGTGCTCAAGAAAGTAAAAAGAGGTAATACACCCTATTTGAAGGATTACAGGATTTTGATGTTTACCTGTCAAAACACAATGTGGATTTTGACAGGAATGCCAAGGGACATACATACACATATGCTTATGCTTATTGCCCTGTTAAGAAAACATGATTAGCCCTGTCAAAAGCCCCAGTTTAAAAGAAAGCCTGAGCCTTGACAGCTCCTGTCAAAACTGACAGCTGCTGTAATGGGGGGCAGGGTCATGCTGTTCCACTTTCTCAAGCACCTAGAACCTTGGGAAAGGGTGGAAAAGGTGCAGGCCTCTGAAAACCTCAAGTGCTAGGAGTTCTATGGGCCACTTTCTCTTGCCAGCAAAGATTTTGCTTCCTCCTTGGCTTTCACTGGACAGTTTGTCATTTGATAGCCGTCACTGGAAAGCAAAGCAACACATTAACTTTTTTTTAGCTTTGTTACTGATGGTGCCTCCTGAACTTTTGTCTGGGGATACTTTCCAGGACATTCATGAGGCAAGGCTATTCATTCAGTCACTGAAAGTGTCCAAGTGCATACTTGTAAAAGATCAGTATTTCTTTTCTGTTTTAAAGGACAAAAATATTTGCAAAAATATCAGGCTGCTGCCTCAGAGAACATGAAGTACAATAGTGATTTCTGAAAAGATAAAGGCAGGAAAGTGAGTACAAAACCCTTGCAGTCTGCAAAGGGGCGACCAAACCAGCAACAGTTGCTCCAGAGTGCTGCTTGAGTGCTTTCTGGAATAGCTAGAAGTGGCCCAGGCAAGCTTGGGAAAAGTGGCAGGCGGTTCTACCTCTCTTGTTGAGAAGCTCAGTTGCCATTTCTCCAGACCCATGATTTACCATGTTTAGATGATATGACAACTCATATGAGTTCAACAACCTCTCTTTTGAGCCACGGATTGACACAAATCACCCTGTAGAAAGTGGTCCATATTTGCACAGCATGGTAACACACTGGGGCTTGTTACTCCGGATGGAGTTGTCATGTTTGCAAGGACCTGTCTGTCTGGATGTACCCACTTTTCCTACAAGCCATCCCTGTTAAAATACTAGGCACTGCATTTTGAACTAATCTCAGCTTCCATGTGCACAGGGCCTAGCACATAGCACACAGTTCTCGGATATGTACTGAGTAAAATCATGTACTTTTAGCTCCTAAATTGTAGTGCAAAGCTAATTCCATTCTAACTGCTTTTCCTGAATTCCTAACATGCTCATGTGATTCTCCTGTTCCAGTCACCATTCTGGGAACACACACAGGGATTATCCCACTGGCACAGGGAGTCTCACAGCAAACAGTGGTGGGAGAACAAAAGTAGTATTTTTGGCTGAATTATTTATTTATTTATTTATTTATTTATTTATTTATTTATTGAAGAATGTAGAATTCTTTCACACTGATAGAAAATCAAAGATCCAAAAGCCTTTGACAGATATGGCAAGGGAATTGCCAACATATGAATTGTGGAGGTTTTAATGAGGAAAGGAGGAGGTTAATAATACAGTCCTCATAAGAGGTAATGCCCAAACAAAGGCATTCATTCTTCTGGCTAAATTCTGATACAACCTGCCTATGTCAGTTAGACTGTAGTCAGAAACACACAGAGAAAGGCAGTAAGTAGAAGCCAAACTCATCTCTAGCTCTGAGCCTTAGTTTTTAGGGTTCAGGTTTTTTATGACTTCCTCAAAGTGACCATAAATATAATTAAGTATACAACATTAAGTGAGGTGACTCAGCATCTGTAATCCACTAGATTTATAAAAATGTGGTGAACACAGAAAGTAAAGCTCTGCAGGAGGTAAGTGGAGTTTGATTAGAAAAAAACAAAAACAGTGGTATGCCTGCTTATTGTTATAATACTTTAAGAATTATAGCCCTTGAAGTTTGATGCATCAAGAGAGAACAGTGGATTTTTATTATATGTTCCTTGGTTGAATCCCAAACAATATGCAAACCTTAAGCATAAGTAGAAGATGAAATGTAAGCTGGGTTTAAGGGAAGATGCCCCATTTTCTAAAAGTACATCTATTACTGATGTTCCCAGGCATTAAAAAGTGGTTTTTAAAAAATCAAATAAAACCTGACTTTCTGCTGAATGTAAATAATCCAGTGTGCTATAATGGTTAGAATGCTGGGCAGAGACTCAAGAGATATGAATTTCAGTTCCTACTTGGCCATGAAGCTCACTGGTTGACTTTGGGCAAGTTACTATTAGTCTAACCAACTCATAGAGTTGTTATGAGAATACCACAACACTGTAAGTCACTTTGGGTTCTTTGCAAGAGTAAAAAAGATGGGAGGCAAATGTAATATACTACTAATAATTCTGAAATAACTCTGCTAAGTGAAACAGTGGAACTTCCATAATTTTCAGAAACATAGCACACTGCAACCTGCTTGCAGAGCAACTGCTTCTTCTGGGAGCTCAGACTATTTTCCCATCATTGTATCTGGTATTGTATGATGCATCCATAGTGGAGATACCAGCATTTTATTCCAAAGGGGCTGCATACAAAAACTGTACAGCCTACATGCTGCTGACTTGCTTTTTCTTGGTTTCACTAACTGTCTCTCTGGTGTATTTGGCAGGTGCTGTGCATTGCCCTGGCTTGTACAGTCAGTATGATAACAGGATCTGGCAAATCTCGCTGTCCACATAGACCTCAGTATGAAAGTTATGAAGAAAAGTATGAACGCCGACAGGAAAAGCGTGGAAACATACGCAGAAGGAATAATACAACCATGTGCCATCTTGTGGGTAAAAACAAGAGGAAAGAGGCCAAGGAGCCTCTTCAAAGTCCCCGACAGAAAGAGTTTCTCCGAAGAAGGAATTTAGTAACTGAAGAGCTCAAAGGGGCAGAAGTATGCATGTCTTCTGGGATAGAGGCATCACTGGTTTCTGAGAACAGAACTGGAGATGTGGGAGAAAGATCATCTTGGACAAATCTGAGATTATCACCTACCAACCAGGTAATACAAACAATGGAGGCAACATAAATGGGAGCCTAATCTTAAATATGTTAACTAGAAGATTAGCCCCAGTGAGCTCAATAACCCATTTGATTACATCCTGTTGATCTTTGCTGAGAGATTAGTCATGGCCTCTGATTTTAGCTTTTGTAAAACACCTAGAAATCTTTGGATACATAGCAGTATAGAAATATTAAAATAAATAAATAAAATTTCCCCTTTCAAATTGTCCCAATATCTGTTTCCTTTTGAACAGATGGAAAGAGTAATTTATTGATTTTCTTCCATCATTTCCCTCTTTTCTGTTTTTAATAATAGAGGGAGAATCATAAATGTATAAAACAGTAGAACTGGAAGGGATCTATAGGCCATTGAGTCCAACCCCCTGCTCAATGCAGGACTCAGATTTAAAGTATCCCTGACATCCTTTTGTTTGGCCATCCCACATTGGCCTCCCTAGATAATTGGTTCCATCATTGTATTGTTCTCACAAGTTTTTCCTGATGTCCAGCCAAAATCTGGCTTACTGTAACTTGAGTCCATTTTACTGTGCTCTGCATTCTAGCATGATTGAGAACAGATCCTGGCCCTCCTCTATGTGACCACCTTTCAAGTACTTGTCGAATGCTATCACATCTCCCTTCAGTCTTCCCTTCTCCTGGCCAAATATACACAGGTCTTTCAATCTCTCCTCCTAGAGCCTTTTCCACAGTCCTCTCATCATCATCGTTGCTCTTCTTTGAACTTTTTCCTGTTTGACTGCATCTTTCTTGATATCTGATGACCAGAACTGAAGACAATACTCAAGATGCGGCCTAACTAGTACCTCATGGAATTTGCAACAAATTCTTACATTAATGCAATACAAAATAGCATTAGCTCTTTTTTTTTTTTTTTGAGCTACATCACATTGTTTGCTCATGCTCAATTTGTGATCTCCAACTTTTCCAAGTTCCTTTTCACTTGTAGTACCGTTGAGCCAAGTATCCTCCATTTTGTAAATGTGGATTTGGTTCTCTTTTTCTAGGTGTTGAACTTCGCATTTTTCCCTATGGAATGTATTCTGTTGCTTTCAGCCCAGTGTTCCTATCTATTCAGATCACTTTGAATTTTGTTTCTGTCTTCCAGAGTATTAGCTATCGCACCCAATTTTGTGTCATCTGCAAATCTGATCAGCATTTCCTCTACCTCCTTGTCAAGTCATTAATACAAATAAAAATGTTGAAGAGCTCTGGGCAGAGGACTGATTCTCTGGTACCCTACTTGTTACTTCTCACTGGTTTGAGAAAGTGCCATTGGTGAGCACTTTTTGATTCTGATTCTGTAGCCAACTGTGGATCCACCTGCTAGGTGTTCCACCTAGCCCAGTTTTAGCCAGTTTGCTGATCCAAATGTCATGGGACACTTTGTCAAAAGTTTACTGAAATCAAGATATATTATGTCCACAGTTCACAAAAGAGGTTAGCTGATCAAAAGATGAGATCCAGTTAGTCTGATAAGATTTGTTCTTGATAAGTCCATGCTGGCTTTTAGTAATTACTGCATTGCCTTCAAGGTGCTTACAGAGTAACTTCTTTACTATCTACTTCAGAGTTTTCCTGGGACTGGCAAGCTAACTGGTCTGTAGTTCTTAGAATGTCAGACTGATCTGTAGTTCCCAGGATCCTTCTTTTTGCCTCTTTTGAAGATAAGGACAACATTAGCCATCTTCCAATCAGCTTACACTTCACCTATCCCAATTAATCTCAGTTAACTTGCTTTCAACTAATGTGACTTCTCTTCTCAGCTTTGAGGCCAAACAAAATATTCTTTTCTTTCAGGAGACTTTGAATAACCCTACTGCCCAGTTTCTTACCCAATTTGTGCTGTGTGAATCCTACAATACATTTGCAGATGGCAACTTGGACTCCTCACCCAAAAGCATGCTTACTGTAAAAGTTTCCAAAAGCTGTAAAGGTAAATGCCAAAGTATAAATCATCCTTATATTAGCCAATATATAACTTAGGTCTATATTTTCAGTTATTCCACCTGAACTAGTCAAATGCTCTTGCAACTAATTCTGTGAAGTTAACCTGATAATATTTCCTGTCTAAAGATTCTATAAGAGTAATAATATCATTTTCCTTCTATTTCCAGAAGTACAGTACCTTTAAAAATATTTTAAGAATTTCTCATTTTTAATTAAAACTATTTTCCAGCCATCTAGCTCCAGCTGCTTCCAAAAGAAATAACAATTCTGTTGAAAATGTCCAATAATATTTTTTTTCTTGTTCAAAACATTTATATGAAATTTCCTCATTTGTGTTAATACAGGTACACAAACTACAACCGAATCAAGTGCAGAAAAGAAAAACTCAGGGCAACAGACAGAGTAAGCAAGCTCATTAATGCATATCCCATTTTTCCTTGGAGCTGGTATCTTTCAGATAGAATACCAGGGAATAAGTACTGAGAATTAGGCATTTTGAATATAATACAAACAGGTAGAACTTTTCATTAAGGACTTTACCCAAACTCTGCCTACACTTTTGAGGCATTACCAGTTAGGATGCATTGGGCACCTATTTGTTATTTTCCTTCTAAATGGATTCTCTGTGGTAACAAAAAAGGAAGAAACTATTGGAAAACACAAGAAACTTAGACACAGAAGACAGCCTTGTCTGCACCTCTGTGACCAAGGCAAGGTGATGACACAATAACAGCCTCATCTGGGATCAGTTCTGGATTGAAGATGATCTGGCTCTTTCATTAAACTTACCTGAATCCAACAGTTAGCAGCTCTGTAAGTTGCACTGAAGTCCCGCTGCACCACAAATCTTCCTGAATTGACATGGCAGAATGACATCAAACACACTGATGCATGAGGCTTCCATGCATGAGCAACATGGCCTACAGTAGGGTCCCCAGCCAAGGATATGCAAGTAATCCAGCTGGGGAGTCAGAATCCTGTGAATCGGCTCAGCTTGGACTCCTAGATTGTGGCCTATCAACCTGGCATGGGTGCCAAATCACTTAAGGCAGTATGCGGCCTTCCATTATTATTAACAGCAGGCTGCAATTTGTGTATTTTTATACATTAAAGCCAGGCTAATTTGCATTCCTTCCAGTCCCAATTTTCATAAATTGCACAGTTTGGCCAGAATTTATGCAACTTTCCATGTTGTTAAAAAATATAAAAACTCAAAAGCATAAATTGTGGTCCACTTCAAAAATGGAAGCTGCAGACAAAACCTAATACACCCAGCTTTTGGCTCTCAAGTCAGTGAAGTGCCAAAAGTCTGTCCTTCCCTATTGCCAACCTTTTCGGACCCATGGGGAAAAGGAGAACCTGCTGTGGGCACCATCACAAAATGCCTATACAATGGATCATCACTTGGCATCTACCTGTTGCATCTTATTCAGCAAAAACATTTGTTTCATGTTTGTTAGACACTGCAATGTCTCCTTAAGAAGGGATGCTCTAATTCATCTAATTGCTGCTAATGCAGTACACATGTTTTAGCAATGTCCAGTAGTTACTTCTTTTGTGCAGACAGCATAACACTGACAAATTTTGCACTGGAATGATCTTTCATAGTCAGTGACATACACACTTTTCAAAACTATTTACTTGCTTTATGGAAATTTACAGATGAAGGGGGAATTGATTTTTTTTTCATTTTGACAACTAACAGACTGACATTACAAAAATGGAAGGAAAAGTGTTCACCTCCTACAATGAGGACCATAAATTTCTTCCAAAATTTAAATGGGTGTCATATAGACACCAACTTCAAATGAAAGCTTATTTGGTTATTTGGCCCACTTTTGTTGAAGTCTATGTATAATTGCTAGAAAGTTGCATCCATTTCATACAAATTAATGGGCATCACACTGGGGACTTCTGAAGCCACTGGAAGGGCCATAGTGCCTGTAGACAGTGCCTTGGGGACTCCAGGCCTACAACATCAGGGAAGGTGTTCCTGAGCATATTGTAATGCTACTTTGCCTTCAGAGCATTCACAGCAGAGAGTCCTTCTAGATCAGGGAGTCTTTCTTGATCCCTAATTCTAGGGTTCAACCCTACTGCTCCCAGTGCTTACCATGGCAATTTGGGTCCAAGCTGTTTTGGCAACACATCATAGAAAACTCTGCAGGCTACTGCAAAATGCATTGTACAAGTTGTTCTGCAAATTGTTGGACAACTCATTACAATTCCATTACTACTTTTACTAGAACTGCTAGTTCTGCTAGTTCTTCCAGCAGTTCTACAACCACTAGCAGAATTATGTCTACTAACACATTTTTCCACTAAAAGAATTTTGGCTATAACCCAGATGTATCACTTATTACAATAGTGGTGTGCACTGCTTGATAAAATACTGTTCTCTTTCTTTTTCAGCTGTGGAATCACAGTTTTAGATAAGGTAAAGAAAATACAAAATGGTAATATGAATCCTATGTCTTCAGATATTAATAGCTGATATATGCCATATATAAATCCCTAGGAATAATGTATTTTTAATGGTATAAACTACAAGCAACCTCAGCTGAGTTGCATGATCAGCTCTACGTGTTAATTCTCACAATCTCCACAAGGTTTTCAGCAGATTGCTCAGTGGAGATAGAAAAAAAAATTGCTAAGGTTTGTTCATTTTGCATATTGTATGAATGAATTATGTTCAAGAAAGCCAAAGATATTATTTGGATTACTGAAACCAAATGATTACACAAGGTTTTTTCAAAAAGTTTCCACACTTTGATTAAGTTTCCACTCTTAAGAATTTCAAAAACAAATTACATCACCTTTCTACATAGTCAACTTCCTTTGTGATGCATTTTTCCCAGCATCATGCCAACATTTTAATGCCATCAGCAAAAAATATACAAAATATTCTTATAAAATATAAAAGTGTGGAAACCTTTTGTATTAATATTGTATTGAACAATGAAATCACAAGCCACAAATTTCTCCTCTTTCTGAATGCCCATTGATTGGAGCCCAGCAGGACCTTAATAAACCTTCAGTTCTTACTAGTGATGGCCAAACTAAGCTCAGTTCAACTGGTATCTATCACAAGCATTACTTAAGAATAGTTTAACTGAGTGGGTACTAGAATCTGGAGCTGAGTTCTCTCCCTGCCCTGCATTTTCTTGGCCTGTTTAGTTTATAGTAAGACTGTCTTTTTCTGCCCTCTGTCTTGGACTGCAGAACTATCTCAGCAACATGGGCAGTAGTTGCAGTGCCACCAAACCATGTGGCATCTGACTTTTAGGTAAGCCCAGAACAGATATAAGACACATTACTTCTTGTCGTGTAGGTAATGGCACCCCAGCCCTAGTCTAGTCAAATTATTTCAGCCTCAGAGGGGTAGAATTCCACAAGCATCTCTCTTCCACCATTGCTTTCCTATTAAAATCAGTTGCCGGAGGGATTGACTCCCTAAATGGAAAGCTTGAACCTGAAACAAACCCCCTAAATTTAGATTTAGTGATGCTCAACAGTGGAATGTTGCACACTCATAATAGAGTGTTTGCTCTATTCTGACACCAAGAACAGAGGCCGAATATGTTGAGGCTGAGAGTTTCATAGTAACTGTTGCATTGCCTTGTCAAATGTTCACATTTCTCTATTAAGACTCAATTAGAATTTTAAATTCATTTATTTATATTTCAGGAAATTATCCAACTTTCTAACTACCTCAAGGTGAGTAACTAAAACTAACTAAACCATAACTGAAAATGACACTTAATTAGAAATGCTGGAGAGCTGGGTTTTGCTTTTGCCCTTGAGGTAGTAATGAAAACTTTATTTAGGGTCAAAGGTTTACTGAGATTTGGTACCCTAACAGACAGCTTGAAGTACTACAAGCAGTTCCTGAAGGGAAACAAATTAGCATGTGCTTTGGAGCTTCGACAAGATCAAGTCTGCCACCCTGCCATTTCCATGGCTGCCATTTTGAGCTACTGACACTGTGAAGTATAAGGGTTTTTGTGGTGCCTGCTTCACAGGCCTGATTCCGCTGTAGACTTGCCTTGCACTCTGCTATTTATTTATTTATTTATTTATTTATTTATATGCTGCCTTTTTCCTACAAAGGGCTTAAGGCAGCTTGCATCAATCTCCTCCTCCATCTTATCCCCACAACAACAACCCTGTGAGGTAGGTTGGGCTGAGAGTCTGTGACTGGCCCAAAGTCACCCAGTTGGCTCCATGGTTGAGCGGGGGACTCAAACCCGGATTGCCTGAGTCCCAGTCCCATGCTCTTAACCACTATGCCACACTGGCCCTTGATTCCTGCCTGCTCCTGCTTCTGGCCTGTCCCTGCCGTCCCTCTGTCCCTGCTATGCTATGGTGGCGTCTGATCCTTGCCTGCTTCTCTCCTTGCTTCTGCCTTTCTTTCTGCCATGACGTGTTGATATCTGACTATTTTTCTGTTCTTGATTCTCCCCTTGCTCCCGGGTCTGCCTTGTCTTGTCAATATCTGTGCTTGCTGGTTTCTAATTCTACTTCAGTTTTTGCCACTGGACTCGCCATGCCTTTTTGCAAGTTCCTGTCTTTGACATTCCCACTGTCCCTAGTACATTCATGCTAAGATTTCATCGGCTCCAGTCTTCATGTTCTGGCTAGAGACACCTGCCACCTACATCCCTGACCTGAAACCCAGAACCATCCTGACATCAAGTGTTCTTGCTTCATTTTGGAAGGAAAACCCCCACTTGGGAGCTTTAGGAAGGCCATGCTGCTGATAGAGGATGAATTCTGGCAGTGCCTGAGATACCTTTGCTATACGTCGCTGAATCAAAGTTCTTCTTTTCTCTTTTAGGAGGCGCTACATCGAGAGATAGTGCTAAAGCAGAAGATGGTGATTTTACAGGAGCTTCTAACCATGCTGCTGAAAGCAGCTGAACAATCATGGAAGGTACCAGACGGCCAGGCTAAGGCCTGAGATTACTAATATCTGTACCTACACATTTATCAGGCAAGGGTAGGCAACACTTGGCCTGTGAGTCCCACAGCACCCATGGACACTTCTGTCTGCATTTCAGAAAGTCTTGCTGATGCCTGGAATTTGTTCATTTTGTTTAATTCAACTGTGTCTGTGGATGGCCAAGAGCACTTTGGAGTAAATCCCTGACCTCCAGCCACTTGCCATCTTTATCCCCCTGTGGAACTGTGCACTCCAGCTGGATGTGGAGACATTCTTAGGAAGTAGAGGCAATGGGTTGATGGAGGCCAGCATTTCACTTTGAAGGGCTCCCAGCTATCAAGGGATTGGAAAACATAAAAAGAAGAAGGTAGGAATGGGCAGACCTCATTGCCAGTATGCAATGAGCTTGGGGATGATGGGAGGACAATTGGGGATTACCTGAAGAATTAGGTGACAACTTGATGTCATGGGAGGGGAAGTAGTGGGATGGGGGCAGGTGTCGGGAGGACCCAGAAGCAGCCCAACATGGGGAAGAAGGAAACAGGGAGACTGGTCTTGGGGTGACCCAGTGGAGAAGTGAGGAAGAGGGAAGTGTGTGTGCATGTTTGCATGCATGTGTACATGAGACAGTCAGATTGACAGACACATTGCATGTGAACATTTGGGAGATGACCCTAAAAATGACAGAGAAATGAATACTGAATTGGATGGATTTTGTGAGCTGTAGGCATGGGATAAAAGACAGAAAATCTGGCTTGATGATCCTAAGCAGGAAAGAGAACTGTGGGTTCAAAAATGGTTTTCTGTTGTCTTTTCAAGCTTCGTCGGTTTACCCTTCTGTGTAATGTATGTTCTGTGACCGCTCATGGCCACCATGATGACGATTTGATAGCTGCGTGGTTTCTCACGGCAGCCATATTGTGATGGAGCCTAGAAATTTTCTCAACATTCCAAATTTATATTGGTCCAAAGGCCTGGAGACCCCTGTTATGGGGCATGGCTACGTGCCCACTCAGATTTCCCCTACCTTTAATAGTTACATAGAAGATGCACCTTGTGCAGAAAGCACTTTTTGTTAAAGAACTGGAGGTAAAGTTGTGTGCATAGCATTCATCTCATTTAAAAGAAGACCTCTTTTAAAATAACTGCATTGCTGCTCAAATAAAATTCAGGTTTGTCTGGCTAAGTGGGTGTGCTACTGTCTCCAGTGCACCGGGCGCTTGGCAATTGGTGTACACAGGACTGTATACACATCTTGGCAGTCAGGCTGTCTCTCCTGGTGGAAGTGGATTTTTAAGCAATCAGTGGAAATTGTATTGAAAAGTGCCAGGACAGTTTAAACCACATCCTCTTGCAGGATGGCAGAGAAATATGTTAGAATTGTGAGCAGTGATTGTGCTGTCAAACTTCCCTAATCAATACATTATTTCAGTATAGTGTAGTGATCTGAGTTGAAGTCCCTGATTGTCTATGAAACTCACTGGATAGCTTTGGGCCAGTCACTGACTCTCAGTCCAACTTACCTCACAGGATCATTGTGGGGATAAAATGGAGAGGAGGAGCACCGTGTAAGCTGCCATGCAAGAAGGAAGTAGAACAAAATATAAATACCTCTGACTTGACATTTATATCCTGCTGTTCTTCTTGCAAGGAATACAATGCAGCTAATGAGGTTCTCCTCCATTTTACCCTCACAACAACAACCTTGTGGGGTAGATACAGACTGAGAGGCAGCGAGCAGCCCAAAGTCACCCAGCGTATTGCATGACTGAGTTGGGACTGAAATCAAGATTGCCTGTGCTCCTGTCCAACATTCTTAACCAGAATGGCTTTTCAAAATATTTAGGTTACTTCCCGGACGGCTCTTCACACTACCAATCACAGGACACTGTAAAGCTGTTTTTTGAAGAAAGAAAAAGCAGGAGGTTTACAAGTAGAAGATAGTATCTGGAACTTGTCAACCCAACCCTTATCCCAGTAAAATTCCATTAATAAGTCTGGATGATTGCATGAGAAAGCCTTTACTGACACAACTATTGGCAGTGTTAAAGTTGAGCCCTTAAGAAAATGTATCATAGGAAAAAATGCAGTGTAAAATAGTTCACAGAAAAGCCCAAAAGTTAGATGAGTGAGAGCTCAGTCAGAACAGGAATGCCTGTCATGTACTCTCAGCTGCAATGCGGTTTGAGACTTTTTCTGTGAAACCTTTCTGACAGACTTCAGAGGATCCCTGCAGAATAGCTTGATATGCTTGCTGGCAGGAAGTGGTGGTAAAACTTGAGCTTAGCAACAGGTTGCTGTGCGCTTTGTCTCTCAGCATTTGTGTTCTAGTTTCTGTTGCAAATCCTCTCTTTTAGCTTCTCATGAAAGCAGCATTTATCTGCTGCGTTTCAGAGCACAACACATTAGAAATTATGAGAGCTGACACTGGAAATGCAGGAAGAAACAAATTAGCTGAAAAATAGGCCACTTTTCAAAACCACAGGTGGAATCTAACATTTTAAGTGCTTCAGAGTGCCTAAGAAAAGCACAAGATAAGACTTGTCAGGAATTGCCTTTTGAAAATCCCATTTAACAGTAGACATTTTATTCAAGAAAACTAACAAATAAGCAAGCCAACAAGCAAGCAAACAAGCAGAGTTTCCATTTACAGGAGGCAATCCAGATCTTAAATATGTGTTCAAACTTGCATGGGAACCAGGGTAAATTAGCATGTCTTTTGCCTGCCTTAGGTTTTAATTTTGTTCTTATCTGAGATGATCATGATTTAATATGCAGCACAGGAAGAAGAAAAACAGGGAAGTCATCTATGTTTATACAGCTGTATGTTATTTTTCAGTACCAGGCCCTTGCTTCTAATTAGAATCACCTGAGCTTCTAGTGCATCTTGCAGGCAAGCCTCTCACTGTGCATTCACCCCCCTCATTCATGGAGCTTCACAGGAGTAGAGACAACATTTCTACACAAAGCAGAGACTTTGAAGGCAGTTCTAAAAGTCTCTTTCTGGAAGGCAAAGATAATCCAACAGGCTATTCTGTCATCCTGCCTGTGATGCAGAGGCAAAGTTTTCTGGGACTTTACCATGAGCTCTCCAAATCAAACAAAGGGTGCTTCCTATATAGCTATATAGTGCTGCTTTGAAGAAAAGGTATTACAGGAGTATAACAGTTTGGTGCCATATATTATTATCCTAATCTAAAGGACAGGTTTGATAAGATTTTCAAGTTACACAGCTATACTGCTGCAATGGTAATTATTTTTTTAAAGACCTATGGTTGAATATTCTGACAATAAAAGTGTGGGCCAGCATTAACTGTTTGGAAAATTAGGAAGGGGAGATCAACTTTTAGAAAAAGGCTTTTGGTGCTCTCTTCCCAGACCCAGAGGCAAAACTCAAGGCTGAATGTGCCTGCCTATGAGCATAATGGGAGCTCACCAGTGAAGAAGTGCTTGTTCTCTTTCGTTCCTGTACTAATTATATCAGTGTTCCCCAAAGCCACAGTACCAGCCACTTTCACCAGAGCTGAGAGTCAGAATTTTGCTTTAACTGTGTGATTAGCAATCAAACATAGCAAATTTTTTTAACAGAAGAACTGTGCTGGGGTCAGGTGGAATGGAATAGACAGGGTAGTTGCCATCAGGACTCCAGTATGCAGTGAACAGACACAGTTTGATCAGTCTTATTGATATCAGTGGCAGCCTGAAACATCCATTTCATTACCACTGAAATCAGTGGAAGTTAAAGATAGTTATCTTCGGGTGAATTGTACCTGTACTCTGAAAAGGGACTCCAGAAAACATGAGGGACCCAAGGTACAAAAGCAATGTGCAAACCTAGGAGCCTAAGGAGTGACTTTCCTCTTTTTTATTCTTTACAAATCTTTGCAATCTGATGTTCAAAATTTCCCACACTATTTCTCTGTCAGGGTCAGTTGAATGAAGACAAACTCAAGTGCAGACTGGGTGCATTGGAGAATCAACTACAGATCTGCTCTGAGGTAACATTTTTTGCTCAAAAGCGAAGGCCCATTTCTCAATGCTCAGTTAGTTTTTAGTATTTCTATCTGGGATGGCCATCTTCCTGGAAGCTGTTCTATTCTTTGGAGAGAGATGCCAGGTAATGGTGTATTCTGCAATAGCATTGGCAGATTCTGCAATAAGATTGACATCATTGAGGCCAGAGGTGCACAACCTGTAGCCCCAAGGTCTTTATTGCGCCCAGTACTGCCAGTGAGTACTCTCTACTCCCTTCTTCAGAGATCCTCCCCAGACTGCTCTTTCCTCTTAGCTTGCCACATCAGAGTAAACTATGGCAATCTCTGGAGAAGGGATTCTCCAGCCCATCTCCCAGTGATTCTCCAATTGGTTGTTGCTTCTGACCCCCTCTCACCCTCAGAGCTGACAAAATGGTGCATCCCTGGTCTGGCTGTACCGCTTCATAGGTATGGATGAGAGGGGAAGTGATTTCAGAGCTGCATGGGGCATGATGAACTATTCAGTACATTTATAGTTTTTTCAGTGTCCTGATGAGGAGTTCTAATACTTGAAACACATTGAGCAATACTGAGGCCTTCTCCTGGTTCAAGCTCACATGTGGTTCTTTGTTTTCCAGAATGTGCATGCAGTAAATTATTGTATAATTTGCATAGAAACAGCCTGGAGTCTTGATTGTACTTTTCCTGACCGATAATAAAAGAAAAACCTTTTTAATCATCCCTTGATTTTGATCCTGGTGGTGTAAAAGGTATTCGATTGTTGAGAGCCAGTGTGGCAAGGTTGGACTGGGAGATGCAGGTTCTAGTACCCAGTTGGCCTTGAAGTGCATTGGTGACTTTGGGACACTCACTCACTTGCAGTCTAACCCACCTCACAGGGCCCCTGTGCTGAGGATAAAATGGAGCTATGGAAGCCACCTCAGGTTCCTTGTAGAAGAAAATGCAGGATATGAATGCAATGTAACAACAACAAAATGAAAAAATAAAATTCATTTGAAGGCTGTGTTCACTGGCCATCCGTGGCCTGGATCAAAACAAATGGTAGGCATGTCATGAAGCTTGGGTCAGACTAGATGGCCCAGGAGACCCCTTCTGACTTGCTTTGTTTCTATGTTTCTAAATGCAACCCTAAACCAAGAATTTTTAAAATACTATTGTTTGTCACAGCATGGCCTTGTCCAATTTTAATCTACCATTGATGAGAGTTGTGGGGCAAATCTTTACCAAATGAAATCAGTGCATTGTTCACTGTAAAAACTTTCCTGGGTAGGATGTTCAGTTAGAATACTATGGATACCATTTGTTTTAGTGATCTGAATTCAGTCTTATTGAAACCCATGGGTCTTAAGCTGGTCATGAATAACTTGTTCCATGGATTTCAATGAAACCAAATATGACTTAGAGGACTCTAACCCTATATTTTAAAATTAGGAAATATTCTTTAGCTCTTAATAATGATGACATTTCTCCCCCATTTTTTCCTTTTTTCACGGAACTCAAGGCAGCTTACAAGGTTCACCTGATCCCCACCTCTATTATATCCTCACAATAATCCTCTGAGTTATAGGCTGCGATTCAGCAATTGGCCCAAAATCTCTCAGTAAGCTTCATGGCTGGGTAGGGACTAGAACCCGAATCACCTGAATCCCAAGTCCAAGATTCTAACCACTACACCATAGCTGTCATTGTTTTCTTTAGAATTATTCAAAGAAGAACTTAAAGAAAATTATCCTGGAGATGGAAGATCAAAAGAAGAACTATGAGCATAAAGCAAAAGAATCTCTTCAGAAGCTGCTTGAGGAGAAACTGCAAGCAGAAAAGCAACTCCAGAATGCCCAGGTAGGCATGGGATTTCAGCCTACCACCAGTAGACTGTTGGGCAGAATTTACATGCCCTGGTCCTGTGGATGTCTGTCGTACAGGAATTGTGTTCCATATTAAGTGAACTGCAAAGCTGAAGCTCCAAAATAGTATAAAACTGTGTTTTCAGATTGTGATTTATGATAACTACCTCTTGGCCTTATTATTGACTTGGTTCCCACAATATAACAGCACACCATGGCCAGCAAGGCACAGTTGGTTATAATGTCATACAAACCTAACCTGGCTCATCATTGGTGGCTTGTTTTCTCTGAGAATCCATGGGCACTTCTATGGATTAATTTATCCATGGTGGGTTATCCTGTTGTGAGAAGTCAAATGAGCAATCCCTCTGTAAACTCCGGTGTTCAGTGACTCAATTTTTTGCAGGTTATCTTTACCCAGGAGATTATGAAAGATTTACAGATATTTCACAAAGCCCAGTTTTACAGCTTCTTCAAAACACACCTTGGTAGGGTAGTCCATGTCTAGCAGAAACTTAAAAAAAAGGTTATCTTTAAAAAATGTAGAGTGTCACAGCTAAAGAGATTTGAATCCTCAGCTGGAGCATTGTCTTTGAGGGGTGTCTACTGCCAAGGTGCAACAAATGCCTGTCCTGGAAATTGCCCAGAGGTGGCTCCAAATGCCCCCCTTCCCCAAGTTTCTCTTAGCAGTGCTAAAAGACAAGCAATCAAGAGAAACCAAAGGTGTGAGGGATCTTTTCCGGCAAAAATACTTTTGGGGAGGGAGGGGTTTATAATGCCTTTGTGCAAAGGTCCTCATCTCCTCCTCATCCGAATTAGTCCCCATCCTGACTAATAGGGGTCCTTTTAAAAAGGAAATTTTGACAGGACAATGGGTGATTTTTGACTGGGACATACAGCTGTAAAGAAAAGCCTTTTTCCTATAAAAAGAAAGCATTCACATGTGTTCTTCCCTGACCTTCAGAGGCTCAGTACAATGTAAATATGTGCTCATGATAGAAGAAAAGAAAGATGGGGATTTTGTGTAAAAGGGATAAATCCCCTCCTCCCCTCACAAAACCCATTCTTGTATGCAAAGATCCCTCATGTCTTTGGTTTCTGTTGTTAGCTAGTTTCACCCTACAGCTTCCTCTTCTTTAATTTGCTCACTAGATGGTGCTATATGAAAAGCTCATAACTAGGTGGCACAGCATATTGGAGAAGATGTTTAAACAAAGTTAATATCTGTTCTAAAGAGTTTTTGAACTTTTTCATTTTCACAAAGCTCTCCTTCAGGCAGGAAAAATGACTGCTGTTTGTTGATGTGGAGACATGGTAGTAACACAGTTGACAACTCCCTGAGGCTCCATAACCTGCCATGAACAACTTCTGGAAATTAATTTAAAATAGCAAACCTTTGCACCTTTTCCCAGTAGCACATGTGTTACATGTCAATCCAGGACAACATAGTCATGAACCCCTGGGACAGCCCAGTTAGCTAGCCACAACAAGACAAATGCAAGCAAGCAGAAAGAAAATATATTTTAGTTACAGGAAATAGAAAGCAGTGCCTTAAAAGTATAGCGTTAGGAATTAAAAAATTTCCATCTACATCAGGGAAGGCACTGGGCAGCTATTCCATTTTTTTTCTTTATTAATGGATTTTCTGAAGTAAGAAAAAGACAGAAAAGCAGTGAGAATATGGGAAAGTTATGAGTGGAAGACATCATCATCTAGACTCCCTATAAAATTTCACAAATCAGGCAGACTAATAAAATCTTTACCCAGAAGCACAGGAGGCATGGAGTTTCCACTGGGTCTTAATAACAAATATTGAGCCTTAATAGTTCTGTTCACAGTAAACTATTCTCTGCTTCTTTTGTTGTGCATGTCTCACTGTCAAGAAGGGGTATTTATTAACTTAGACCCTGCATGTGATATGTGTTCCTCCTAGAGAGCCCTCACTGTTGCAGATGAAGACCTCACCCTCTGGAAAGAACACTACAATGCATTAAAAAACAACTGGAGCCAGCTGATGGACAAGCATAGTGAACTAGAAAACAAACTCCATGTCTTGGAAGATAAACTGAAGGTACCTTCCTTGTCTCTTTATGGGGATATATTCCAGCTTTTCATTTTACACCAACTGTCAGGCTATCATTCCCAAAGACAATCTGAAATAAGGACAAGGTTGCACTTCTTGTGGTTGCTGTCAGAAAGATGATTCACCAAAACAAACATTAAGCCCCGTCCTCAACCTTATGGCCCATTCAGTAGTGGCAGTGCTGTTGGATCATTCCAACACAAGAGAATAAATTCATCTGTTGAAACCCCAGGTCATCAATCCTATTAGGTAGCAGGCTTTCTCTCAAAGAATGGGAAGTTGGATTACATCCACAGTATCATATGATCCTTCCCTTCCTTTCAAGCCACAGATGTATTTTAATGCTTTTCTCTATGAAAGTGTTAATTGTTTCATCTATTTTCCGTTTCATTGCCAAATGCAGATCTGTGCTCTACAAAAGAAGCTTTTCCTTTACTCTTTTGCTGCCAGGTGGTGTGCTATAGTAGAATAGTGCCAAAGTATATAGGCAGTTTTCACTTTCACATATATCTCATTTACCATACTCTAAAAACACCCCAGAAAATTGCTCTTAAAAAAAAAACAGATTTTAGACCAGATGATCACTGTTTTCTAGAGAACCTGTAAGCAACCATGGGTGAGGAACCACAAACATACATTAAACATCTTGTTTATAAAAGCTCTTAATCTTAAATTATCATTGCTATGGTGGAGGCCTTTGTGACAACGTAGCTGAAGACAGTTGCCTTGTCTAGTGTCAGTGTTGTTCTTGCAGAGGTACCTGCCAAATGTCAGTTGTCTTTCCTACAAACATATTACAATTCATTGCCAGATAGCAAACAGAGGCAAGGTTCCTCAAATGAAGCACAACTAAAACAAATCAACGGACCATGTTAAACGTATGCATGTATGCAAGTGTGTCCATGCCATATATTTATTGGAAATACAAAATCAGGTAATCATTCAATTTTAATGAGTGTGCATGTTTATGCACCTATAGTTTTTCAAGTAGCATATTGTTACAGCCCATTGATTTGCTCCGATTGCAGCTTCTAGTTACCTTAATTCCATATGAAAGAAATGTTTGGTTTCAAGAAGCACAGCTACTGCAATTAAACCAGACACATTTTAATAGACTTAGAAAACATTATAGTTTTAGGCTGACAAAATATTCATCAAATCATGTCATTTTCAAGGAGGAAGGATCACTGCACATATTTGTTATTATGTTTATACTTCATCCTTTTCCCTGAAAGTAACCCAAGGCAGTTTGCATAATCCTCTTCTCTGAAGTATTAATCAATATGGTAGCTGCTATCTTGCCTTCTTAAGAATAACGTCTTCTTTTAATGAGCACACCATTGCTTATTCTCTTTTTTTTTTAAATGAACATGTTAGCCAAAATTATTTGTAAGAACTCCCATGAGCCACATTTCAGGGAGGTGGTGTGTGTGCACCCCCCCCCCCCGGTGTGGATGCACATGCCCTGTGTGTGCACACACCCATGTGTGTTGGTATTATTGTGGCTTTTCCCTGCATTCAGTGGTCAGACACCCAGAACTCTCAGCTGGACCAGTCCCTGCAGAACTTGGAAAGCGAACGTGCCAGTCTCTATTCAAGAATTGATCACTTGCAAGAAGACAACAGGTTCATAATGGAATGTCTCAATGCAGCAGAAGGTAAGACATTTTAGCAGGAAAAGGAATCTGCCTCATGATGGATCTGGGTATTGGACAAGGAGACATGCAGCCAGGTTTGAGGATCTTTTTACGAACCTTAGAACAAGCCCCAGTTCCAATATACTGTTAGGTTTTGATCAGTGCAACTAAGAGCTGATTTTAAATGCTGGTAGAGGAGCATGTAGTACAGTTCTTATTTGCATTTCTGCCACTGAGAAATTTATTATTAACAACAAAACAGAACAGCTAAACCCAATTATGAATAAAATGCCATTATACCACGAAACTTCATCTACAGCCATTTAAAAAACTGATGCATAAAAGACCCTGTCAAGTGCCTGGGAATGGACAAAAGTCTTAACTTGGTGCTGAAAAGAGGACAGTGTTGGTGCCAGTGCTGGGAAGAGTATTGTCCCATGTCAGAATCTCTCTGTATGCCGAAAGTGTTGAAGCCAGTGGGAGAATGTCTGCTTAAAGCACTAGCTGTCTTCATGCAAGGATGAAGGCGCAGGTGTGGGAAAGAGCTTCCAGGCAAGCACATCTCTTCAGTGAATCAGCCACATGGAAGATTGTATACCATGTCTCTTTCTGAACTGTTGCATCTGAAGTCATGTGGAAGTGACTTCCTCGGATAGTTCAGCCTCTCTTCTCAGGAAGCATGGGGCTTTTGTCTTTGAGCTATAAGCTGACTGAGATGCTGATCCAGTTATATAATGCTTCAGTCTGTCTCCCATCTTGTGCAGCAGCAATAACACAATCCTGACTCATATTTTAGTTATTTTTATTATTATGGATTGGTGGAATGTTCTATAGATTATGGAATGTATCTATTATATCATATAATTCAGAAATTCAAGCATTTGGAAATTGAAGGCTGCAGGGCTTAAACCACAATGTGCTATTGTGCCCTTCAGTTCCAAGCTGGGAACTTGAGTAGTCTTCTCTATACTCCCACTTATAATGCCAAATGCCACAGTTCAGGGAATGCCTTCTATACTTATTCCTGAAAGTTTGATTGTTATTTTCCAGGCAAGCTGCAAAATGAAGAGAGGCAGAAACTAGCACTGGAGGCAACAATTAAACATTTCTGCAGTAAGTAAAGTTTTTTGATCCAAATAGCTGTGCATTAAGCAGGAAGGCTCACACAGAGCGTATCCACGTTATTCTTTGTGCTATGATGCTGCAGTTTTAAAACCCACAGGATGCAGTTACTGCAAATTCCTCATCTTTACAGCTATTGTCCTCTGTCACTGTTGCTCAGGGACAGGGAGGAGAGGTCACCAACTATACGTCTGAATGTGACGATTACCGAATGTGAGCTCCTTGAAAAGAAAAAAGGCAGGATATAAATATAACAAATAAATACACACATAAATTCAAATTATGGTACGTTACCCTGTGTCATGTAAAGTTCTGATGTGTCACAACCATTAAGGATTGCAATCACAGCAGTCCTGCTTCACACAAATACACATGTGTATTTCAACAATGAAAGTTGTATCTGTGTAGTGAAATCATGTTGTGTGTAGCAATCCTTGGAAAGAGGGGTGCAACCTCTTGTCCCACATGACTCCATGGTTCTAATTGCTCGCAAGTGTAACACATGAACCAAATCTGTTGGGGTTTTTTTTACATTTCCAAGGGGATAGAGATCAAAAGATACTTAGACTGAGCTCTTTGCTTATGGGATCACCAAAAAAGCAATGATCTGCTCAGCTATTCTGACTCTACAGAGCAACAGATACTTTTTCTCAACAGTTGATGGGCAGTTACCTGTATTTTCAGGCTAAGCAAAACTGTTGACAGGATGAGATGCAATTGTTTAAGGAAAATACCTCCAACCTACTACAACATGGGCAGAAGTTGCTTCAGCCTTTGCTGGTTCCCTGCCTACATGAGTAATAGGTAACACCAAGGAATCAGCAGATTCTGCCAGCTTTCCACTTGTCACCACACTGGAATGTGGGAAACTTCCATGAGGTTGGGCCACTGGTTTCAGGAGGGCATGGCAGCTGCAAGAAGTACAGTATTCTTCCCCATTATACACAGCCAAAGCACAACAGTTTGAATTGGCCATGAAGGACTGACTGTAGTGATACAGATAGAAAACACGAGAACAATTGAAGTCAGTTGGGGCATGCAAGTGTTCTGCATTTTGATGTACTGTGATGTGTTCCCTTTGCAGATGTGATGCACAATCAAGGACAGGCCAGCTAATCTGGTAGCAGGGACACTTCTAGGCATCTGGGATTTTATAACTGGTACTCTAAGGACCACACCTCATAAGATAGGCATGGATTTAGACACGAATCTTGCATGTGTTCTTGCATAAGGACCATACAGAAATATCTTTGTAACAGATACTTGCATTTTAGCAGGAAGAAAATTTGTTGTTCTGCAAAAGGCTGCTAGACCTGTTCTACAGGCATGAAACTATATCTGTTAGAGCAATCCTTAATAAATGATTTTATCTCAACCCTGATGTCCATTTCACTGCTTTTACCATATCACCAGTTTCCAAATGAGGAGCTGTAAATAAAATAATAGCAGAGGATGTACATGCATGCTGTAACACCTTCTGGAATTCACATATTGCTCAGAAAGGGGTGGGTGCATCCATTCATGCAATCCTGTGGTTGGTAGGTTTCAACTACACAGACATGAAATGGAGCATTTTATTATGATGATATGCCATGATCAGATCTCCTCCTGGAGGACACAGCTATTGAAGGCTGTTAGAAATAAACACCTGGGGTCCCAGTGATCCCATATTAGTAAATGAACGGATGATTTCTGTAAGGATAGCAAGAGGTGTTTTTTATGGTTTCTGTAAAATTTCTAATGTAGGGAAGAACTGGTTATTTATGTATTCAAGGCTCTTCCCCCTTTCCATTGGCCTCCAATAGTAAGGTCTCTGGACATTTTGGTTGTTTCATCTGAATTCTAAATGTGGAATGTGGCCTGGAAAAGCTGCTCCAAAATGTAGTTCAGCCCTCAAGCTGAAAGAGACACCCTCTAATGAAGAGCATTTGCATGGCAGGGAGAGAGGCTGGCAGTCATCCAATAGGTGCAATTGTGCCCTCTTTGAACCTTCCTGAATTTTGTGCATTGGATGTAACCATTTTGGAAGTGGGCTTCTTTGCTTACTGTTCATTGCATATAGACCAAATCTGTACGTTCTCTGTATGATGGGAAGAGGCAAATAGGAAAAACCATGCTAGATCAGAGGAAAGGTCCATCTAGTCCAGCTGCCTACAAGATCCCTCAAGCAGGATGGGTGCAAGACCCCCTCCTGCCCAAGCTCCTCAGTAAGTGGTGTATGCAGGCATGCCACCCCTGGGAAAGTAGGCAGCACATGGTCAACACAGCTAGTAGCCACTGATAGCCCCCTCCCTCATGGGACCATGGGTTAAGGCCCCACTACTACTCAGGGCAGGGACCACAGAACCAGAACACTGACCTACTCCCTAGTTCCAGTGTCCTTGGCTCCTCTCTTCTGGCTGAAATGCAAACCAAAGCTACACCCTGAGTTTTCACACTGAGTAAACAATTATAAGTGATTGCAGGTAGTTCCAGATGGATAGCTCCTAGCACTGTCAATCAAAAAATCAATGCCATCTTTTCCTCTTCAGCAACTGTGCGGTAAGGGTATGAAGCACTGGGGAAACTTGGCAGGATTAAAAAGAAACCCATACATTCTAGACCCACATAAAGTCTGTTAATGAAGAAGGGCCTTTATAGGACCACCCTGTGCTCCTTAGTTTGTTACATAATATTGTGGGACAGGAAGTATTTGGTCTTTAATGGACATTCCTTGATACAAAGAGCTATCGTGTCACAGAAGCAGCACACAGAGTTCCTAATGTCTCATCTTCCTCCTAACCTTCCAATATAAAATAGACAAAACTACTATTAGATCTGATAAATTGGAGGGCAGATAATGATCTGATCTGACCAAATGCCCTACACTGCAACCTGCTTACAGAAGGACTGCCTGCCCCTAATAAATGAACTCATTAACATCAAGCTAGATGAAGAGTAGGGAATGAAGTCAGACAGCTCAAATAAGTGGATCAGGAAAAGATAAAGAGGAACAACAACCAACTAACACTATATATTTGGTTAGACAAAGCAAATGTTTAAGAGAATTTCATATAAGTTTGCAAATCACTCAAACGCCTCCATTTTTTTGTGTGTTCTGGGGAAAAAATGGGTGAAATTCCTAGTCACAAAATGTATGCTTTTTGCAAATTCATGCCTTTTAAAATCCTCATGTTCATGCTTACATTAATAAGGCAGAAACCATGTACTTTAAAAATGAACACATTAAGGAATCCAAAATGCACTTTTAAGAAACACTTTAAAATTGCATTTTCATTCATTAGTCAATATGGGAATTGTGCACTTCTGAAAAATGTACTCATTTCCCATTCAAGCAAATGGAGGGGAAAAAATCAGTCAAGAATGGAAACAAGCTGAACAGCTTGAAAGTGAAGTCTGGGGAATGTTGGTGAGCTTGAGCATCCTTGGTTCTCCCATCCCTAGGCTAAGTCATCTGTTTCTGAATCCAAATCTGACAATTAGGTATGCCAAGAACATAGAAACACAATCCAAACTTCCCAAAGAAATCACTTTGAAATCTAGACGGTCTTCAACACATGATTTTAAGTGCACTTTGATCCCCAGCCTCTCTAGTCCAATGGCTGAAAAGGCCTGCAGACTGCAGAGATGGCTTTGTTTGAATTGTGGGATGAAATTCACTACCGTCCTGATTTTGTGTGTAATGACTTCTTATATCCTATGTTCCACTATTGCTTAAGGAAAGTGTTAAACCAATTACAATTCCACTCACATGCTTCAAAGAATGGAAGTTTCAAGCGAAGCCAGTCGGTCTTACCTTCTAATAGCAAATATGTTGTAATCCCACATGCTGTTTTCATTTACAGCTTAGCCTCCATGCACCCATATTTGTCCTTGGACTTTTACCCGATACTCCTTTTCTGCAGGAGAGTTTGCCCCATGGGAAAAACTGCCGCATTTCAACAGATATGTGAACTTACACTGCTAAGAAAATAGACCCTTTATGCTAAATTTCAGTCTTTCCACAAATACGCTGAATTTTATTTACATTTAGTATTTGTAACAGTGGAACATAATTTGACCTACATAGGCTCTCTCCTGCCAGTATATTCACATCACATCT